AAAGAGGTATCCCAGCATTTTTTGTTCTAAGTAGAAGAAAAGTGCTGTCGCTTGATATTGAAACAAATTCCACATGCCATTTTACTCAGGCATGATAATCTAAGTGTATATAGCCAAATTAAAGTTAATTAAGTTAATTTGCCAGCTTTCAATAATTGATCGCAAATGGCCAGTGAGTGGAAATTTGTTTCTTTTTTTTTTATAAATTTTATAAAAAAAATTTTCGCATTTATTTTTGCCTAATATTGCTTAATATTTTTGCCCCTGAAAGAATGGCCAAGAAATCTGCTCTGTAAATGTCTGAATTGACAAAACAGGTGGCCATTGGAAATAAATAAAACATCTGTGTATATATATATATATATATTTTGAATATTAACACATAAAATTGTCATCATGATTTTAAATTAAATCTCTACTGTACCTTCTTTATCATATTTTGCTAATTATAGTGAGGTATAAAATTATGATATAAATAAGATATATGATATGGAAGACATAAACAAGATAGGAAATGAATTAAGATGTAAATAAGATTTGAAGGAAAGTATAAAAAATATATTTAGTTTTCTCATCTGTTTATAACAAGTCCACCTTTTTTAAGAAAGAAAAAACCTTTTAACATAAGACTTTTGATAGTTTGTTCTCAAAATACATTGTATTTTTATATAATATTTGTTATAGAATGACAGAAGAATAGAATCAATAGGATTACCAGTAAATCAAAAGAAATGTACATATTCATATTTTAATTGTATTCTTGTTGTTTGCCATTGATATATCTTTGTTTCCTTTTTTTTTTTTTTTAACCANTCTTTGTTTCTTTTTTTTTTTTTTTAACCATTTTCTGCATTCAATAAATTAAGTACCCTTTGATTTTTTTAAAGTTGTAATTTTGTTTTATTCACAATTTATGTTGAGTAAATAAAATATTTCATCAAATTTACAAGTAAATTTATTAAAATTAGATTTTAATTATAAAATTTTACCCTTTAGAACTATTTCAAATTTATTATAAAAAAATTAAATATTTAAATATTTTTTTAAATATAATTCATAATTTTTAAAAACCATAATTTATATGAAACAGTTCATTTTAATAAAACTTTAAATTTTAAAATAAATTTAAAATTCTTAATTATCTATTAAATTTTTGATATCTAATTCCAATATATTCTAATAGCTTAGTGATTTGAAAATTCTTCTCTTCCTTCTATTAAAGAGGAGAGGATACATTAGACTGCAGTGATCTCCTCATGCCCCTATTACCATCCTACCCTTCTGCAGATGGTAGAATCCATTGATTTAGCAGGTACTGAGGCAGGGCATAGTAGCAGAGAGATGCCTGATCAATAGTTGTTGCTAACTGAATTCCCCTTTTAACATTCTGCTCTTGTCCCGGATTTTTGCTTGTTTTCTCTGGATTAGTGCTCATATTTTCTATTATCTTTTCCAATTTTTTCATTTCACAATGGCTGAGTTTTTACTGTAAGCATTATATATATTTTTTAATATATATATATCTACTTATTTAGAGAATATTGAATCATTAATGAGTAAAATTATTGTTTTTGACAGAATCAATTATGTGATTTCAATTTGTGGTAATTAAAGGTAGCTCTTTTATAAATTTTTCATTTGTATTCAATGATATTTTAATTTTATTTAAGGATTATTTTATATGGCATAATATGATAATTAATATTTTTTTTTGAATTATAGACATAAAAATTGTTTTATTCATATTAGTTGTTGCCACAGGTCTTAAAAGTTTCTGTATTTTGCATAGCTATTTTTAGATACCTAATTTGACGTATTATATTTAATATCCTTAAATAAATTATCAAATTAAATTTCAAGTTGGTGTTTTTTTTTGAAATTGCTAATTTAGGTAGCTTTTATGGTGTATAGATATCCATATCAGCGCAGTAGTTTAGATTTTATTGTAAGCATTTAACTATTTTTTTTAAAATATATTCTTATTATAAGAAATATGTTGACCTTAATGAGCAAAATTGTGTTTTTAATTGAATCAATTGGCGTGATTTTAATTTGACAGACTGAAAGTTAACCTGTTTATACTTTTTTTTTTCGTTAATGATATTAAAATTTTATTTCTGGCTATTTAATATGATATTTGTCTGATCAGTATTTTAGTAAATAAAATAAATATTTTTTTTCCTTCCTAATATTTGTTGTCAAAGGTTTAAAAAGTTTCTGTATATTTACATTGTTCTCCCCCCCCTATTTTTAAGTATCTTATATCTGATTTCGATTTTTTGAAAATTGATTAAAATTGCTATTATGATTTGTATATTAATCTTCACATTTAAATGGTTTTTAACAGAAAATTTTGCTTTCATTTGTCATTAACATATAAATTTTATCATTATACAATGGTTGAGTTTTTATTTTAAGCATTTAGTTTTTTTTTGTTTTTAATTTAGAATATTGAATCATTAATGAATAAAATTTTGTTATTTGTTGAAATCAATTCTAGGATTTCAATTTGTGAGAAATTCAGGTAACTGTTTATACTGTTATTATTATTTTTTTTTAGATATCTAATGTTAATATTTGGTTTTTTAAAATTTCCTAATTGAAGTTGCTGTTATGATATGTAGATTCCTTTATTTAATAATTCGTAATTTTAAATTGAAAATTTTCCTTACTATTGTTATTCTTCTCATTAACTCTCTTTTGTATTATCTTTAAAAAAATTTAAAACTCTGAAATTATGTAGACAATACCTACTCAATTGAAGCAAGTTATGTATGGTTTAAAATTTAATTAACTGAAGCATTTACTACTTCTCTTGCCTTTTAATTTTCTGTTTTTATTTCTAGGAAGCCTACAAGCTTCTAAAATGAAGTTGATAATTTTGTAAAAGAATATAATACATGTTTATCGTAATCAGTCAATGAAAGAATGATCGGTGATGGTTTAAAAAATAGTTAATTTGGAATGTGAGCAAAAATAAATCTAACAGTACTTTTTTTTTTGCAATTAAAAATATTTTTTTATTTTATCAGAATTAATAAAAAATTAATTAAATATGTGTTATGATTTATGATAAAAACATAAGATAGATTTTAAGAACTAATTTTGATTTATTTAAATAATATTGTTTTACATATATTTTGTTTGCAGGTTATTTAATGTATGTTTGAAATAAAATTGTGCACTTTTTCAGAATTGTTGCTTCTTTATTCTATCTATGTAGAAGATCAATTACAAAAAGCTATTTCTGAGCAATGAAAAAATTAATTTTTAATGATGTATTTTGTTTATTTGTATTAGTTTGATATTTTTTTAATTTTCAGATTTTCCAGTGTTACCTATCTTAATGTTAGATTTGTTGAAATTTTTAATGCATTGAATAGGGCCAATTCATTCATAGCCAATTCATTCATTTGTTCAATAGTTAAAATGATTTATTTAGTTTTTTTTTAGAGAATTTGGACAAAACAGACAAAGCAGATTAAAACTTTTTTTAACAAGATTTTGTATTATTTTTGCAATATAGTATGCACTGATATCCAATGTGTGAACTTGTTTCAATCAATTCAAAGGTAATTGTAGAAAATATGCAAATCATCGACAGTGAGTGGCTTTCCTGTATAGCGTTTTATATCTACTGTCAAAATACCTTTTGTAATTGAGTAATTTTTTGTGCAACTGAAACCTACAAGCTTAAAAATTTTTTTAGAAAGTATTATTTAGTATTGTATTAATAATTATCATAACTCTTTGTATTCAATTTATAAATTTTTAACTGAATCATTTGATGCAAAAAAGGCATAAAATCAGTGAAACGAGTTAATCCTTCTTAAAACAACTGATTCAATTATTAATTAGTACATATTTATGTGGATTAACACTGAAATACATATAAAGAGTTATGCTTCATTATTTTAATTAAAGATTTAGTAATTTTAAAGACATTCAGAGCTTTGTATTAATACAAAAAAAAAAAAAAAAAAANAAAAAAAAAAAAAAAAAAAAAAAAAAAAAAAAAAAAAAAAAAATAAGGAAGTAAAATCTTATATTCTGGGAAACAGCAAAATATGTTTCTATGTATATATTATTTAAATCTTTTTTTTTTCAAATTATGATTTTTAATTCCCTGCTATTAAATAAAAATCATAATTAGCCAAATATTTTTTTATTTTTAATGTCAGGTTTTTATTCTCTTTATTCCTGTCTTTTACTACCTTTGGTAAAACATGTGGTATTATGTAGAAGTGGTATTATTATGTAGAAGTGTACAATGTGATATTATATAGAAGTTTATTCTATTACTGTGTTATATATACTATAGTTGGGTAAATCAGACAATCATAGTGATTAAAATCGAACATATCAGTACATATTATTGAATCAGAAAATCAATCTTCACTGTAACAGCAATAACCACTTAAAGAATAGATTAAAATAAATCTGTTTCAAAATGAGAGTTCAATCACTTTATGATCAAGTTATCCAAGTTTAATGCATGCTTATTAAAAGAATGAACCCTACTAGGTAACCCTTAAAATTTAAAATTCTCTTTCACGCACATAAGTAATTTAAAGCTTAAAGCATAGAAAAAGGGAGCCCAGGTCAACTGTGAAGTTTCAATTGATGGAAAAAATAAAATTCAAAATATCAAAATGCAATAACAAATTATTACTCAGGATTAAACATTGGGGAAGTTATCCTGCCATAATTAGTATGCATTTCAATATTTTGAAATTTTTTTTCCGGCATTTGAAACTTCATTGTTTACTCTAGTTTACTGTAACACACCTTTTTTAAGCTTTAAATTTTAAAATACGAATTGAGGTGAAACAGAAATTGCCATGAGAAGTTTTTCTTTCAGTATAGCGTTCTCTTAAGTGAACTTTCTAAACTTTTTTGTTTGGTATTATCACACTTTAGGTTCAATTGTTATTTAATGTTTCTAGGTTTATCATATGTTCATGATTTTTATTGTTAAAGCAATCTCTTTTATCTTTTAGAATTTCAGGTAAACTGTTACCATAATGCCAAAGCATAAGTTAGAAGATTGTTCTGGGGATGAAGCCAAAGAGACTTTCTCTGATGACTGCTGCTTGGACAGCTTTCCCAGCAGCAGTGATGCTGATAAAGATGATACTAGCGACAGTAGTCTTAAATCTGAGTTGAGTTCTGAAGTTCCTAGTACAAATACTGGTCAAGTTGCTGAGGATACATCTGATACTGAAGAACCTCCACGCAAGAAAGTGAAAAAGAAAAATGTCTGCTTTGCAAATGTAACAGTATACTATTTTCCAAGAACACAAGGTTTTACTTGTGTTCCAAGTCAGGGAGGATCCACTCTAGGTAATTTTCTAGATTTGTTTTATTTTTACCGTTTTCTTATGTAATGCCTAATGCACTTAAAATAAACGCATGAATTATAAACTCAAAAATTAAATGTGATTATTTAAAAAATATTAAAATTATTATTTTTAGTATTATTAATAACCCCTAAATGCATATTATTTTAATAAATCATAAAGAAAATAAAACTGAGTCAAATTATTTGTGAATATAAAAGTTTTACACTCCAAAGCTTGGATGTAACCAGGATATGGTTTGGTTTTATTATCCAAAGAACACCAGTTATTTTAAATAGTAGTTTAGACTAAGACAACCTAGAATTTTTTTTAATATTAAATATTTTCTAACAGACAATTTTTCTGACATTTATTACCAGAACCAATGCAAAAAAATTCTTTTAGTTATTTATATAGAAAATTGAGAACTTGACACTTTTTTTTTTACAGAAAATAGTTATTATTTAGTTAATGATACAATTGAATTACATTTGTCTGTTGCCTAATGGTGGCTTTTTATTTGATAGGAATGGATCAGAAACATAGTCAAATGAAAATGTTTTCACTTCTTGAGCATGCTGAAGAGCAAAAAAGAGTTCATCGAGAATTAATTAATCATCAGCGTAGACTAGCAAAGTATCAATCATCTACATCTGATTCTGATGATAGTGAAGATATTAGCGACGTCTCTGATTCAGAATTAGAAGCTGATAGTTGTTATTTTTTGCAGCCTGTTCCTATTCGACAAAGAAGAGCTCTTCTTCGTGCTTCAGGTGTACAAAAAATAGATTCATTTGAAAAAGAAGAATGTCGCGACATCCGTTCATCACGAGAGTTTTGTGGTTGTGAATGCAAGATTTATTGTGATCCTGACCATTGCACTTGCAGCCAAGCAGGAATCAAGTGTCAAGTTGACCGTTTCTCCTTTCCCTGTGGTTGCAGTCGTGATGGATGTGGGAATGTTGCAGGTAGAATCGAATTCAACCCCTTAAGGGTACGCACTCATTTCATTCATACTTTGATGAGGCTCGAGTTAGAGAAGAAGCAAGAACAACAATTGATGTTGAAATCTGAAAGTAACAATTTTTCTGTTTCATCTTTGTCATCTTGTGATACTTGTGGTTCTCTGTCTTCAGCCTCAACTGCTTTTACGTCATGTGTTCCAGCTCCATCATCATATTTAACAATGACTTCTACCTCTTCCACTGACTCTAATAATTGCATTGTTAATAGTCCTTTGAAGGAGCAGGTATCAGCATTTATGGCCATCAGCGAATCTGATAAGAAAAATTCTGGTGATATGTACGCTTCACCTTTCAGTCCACAAGAAAGCTCCTACTCAGAAAATTCTGATTACTCCAGTGATGATATTGATTCTGATATGGATACTTCAAACTCATCGCATCAGAGGACTGTTCTTCAGCCATCTTTAAGTGAAGGTTCTGCACAAACAACTGACACTTCAGCCAAATATTTAAATCATTTTAACAAATCATGCAGTCCAAATAATGATCTTAACTTAAGGTGTTATTTTTCAGCACAAGAGAGTACATTTTCTACTTTGGTGCAATCTGATAATCATTTCTGTAATGGCAACTCAAATACTCAGTTTTCTAATAACAATTCAATCTCACCCCTAGAAAGGAATGGTTTTAGAGAAACTATGGCGAGGCAGGGAGATTTTAACGAACAGCACGAACATTCATTAATGAAAGAACAGTCACAAAACTATCATTCTGTTTCTTCGAAAACAGCAGATACTGTTGTAGAGGAGGAACAGTGTTATACTGATTTAAGTTCTGTTATACCTGGGTCCAAAATGGAGTTGTTTAATGGATTGCTCAGCTCCAAAGTTCAAGACGTAACTGCCATAAAGCCTGTTAATTTAGAAACAGAAAAAGTTTTTAACTCTTTAGAAACATGCCCAATTGCTTTAGGAAGGGAGCCACATAAGTGTTGCATTTCTCAACGCATGGAAAATGAGAGAAATGATGAACCTGGTGAAAATTTAGGTGAGATAATCAAGAAAACAATTGTTGAAACAGTTTCGGCATGATGGTGACTGGACTTAGTTTCAAAATTTTTTAATTTGACAGGTTTTAAAATTTTTGTATTGCTTTGTTTCTTATTAGCATGTTATTTGAAAGGCTACAAAAATGAATTCTAAATGCTATTCCAAAATATAATATCAATTTATATCTTTGTAACATCTCTCGAATAGCTAAAAATTCAACTTTGTGTGCTCCTTTAAAATTAATTTTTTTTACAGTATTTTTGTTGCAAACCTTTTTGTGTTAAAAAATCATGAATATTTACAGATGTTTTAAAGTTGCACATTTTTTTAAAAAAATTTGTTGTTGTTGCACATTTTTGTTTTCTGTTGAATTTGTTTAAATTGTTAAAAACCAGTTTGAAAAAACACCATGAATTAAATTTATGTAAAATTTAGACAAAAATTAGGTAGTGTTACATGTTTTTAACACGCAAAAACACTTGTTCAAAATTTTGAATACATTTTTCCTTAACTGTATATATAAATAAAAATGTTTTCGTTGTAGAATAAGTGCATGTAAATTGTGAATCCAGTCCTATTAAATACTTTCCTCTACACATTTTCCCAGACCAAATTTTTTAAAGAATAGGTGCTTTGAAAAAAAAAATAAAAAAAAACATTGTCTGGTAGATTTGCTATAAAGTGAGATTACTAAAATATCTCTTTACCTAATATTTCCCAATGACAGCTTGAAAATCATCCAGTTTCAGATCGTTGGGTACTAGATAGTCTAGGAAGTGAAGGCGGTCAGTGCTTAATTCCCATCATATTAACACTATCATGCTGCTAATCTTCAAATTGTGCTGTCACAAGAACAAATACTTTTAATAAAGCTATAATAAAGGTATTTTAGTGGCTACATTAATGCATAATGGCTCTTTTTTTGTAGTGCTATATACATATGCATACCATGTTATTATATGGCGTAAGGTTTAACTATTATGTTTTATAACCTACATTGACCAGCCCTTGAACAGTCCAATTTCGAGACCATGACTATGAATGTTCAACTCTGCAGCCATGCAATTTTGAAAGCAATCCAGACCACAAGGGAACTCCTAGATTAAACATTGAGACAAACAGGCTTTCATGAAGTAATTTTTGATGGAACTAACCTGCTTTTGAATTACATAGAGAGAGAAACGACAAATGCCCTCCACAGTTAGTCCAACGACAAGGGGACTTTTACCCATGACCATGGGATATTTTATGTCAGCACTGTGGTCCAGCCAATGCCAGGATTCAAACCTGGGATACTTCACTGGAATATGAGTGCTCTATCCCCAGGGCAATCACATCTAAGATTTACCTATTTGCCACCACTAAGATGTTGATCTCAGAATTGTGTAGCTTTAATTTTTGCAACCCCTTGTTCGACTACTGGTTTTTACAGGAATGCCCATAAAATCTTTTTTGTGTAGTGCTAGATGTTTGCCTGTTGCAACATAGGACACGCTATTAAAGTGCTAAGTTAATTGAAATAATAAAGAAAAATATGAGTTTAAAATTATGATTTTATTTATTTCATTATTGGTTATTAAGTGGTTTCAGTGTGTTGCAAAGCAAATATTAATTATTTAAAAGGAAATTTTAAATCTTCAAAAATTCCTTTAATCATAAAACTTTTCAAGCTTTAATTATACAACTTCTTGTGCAATTGTTGGGACTCTAAAATGCACTCAGTGATCATAGTGAAACAGAGAAACATCAACAATGCATATTAACCTGTAGATTTTTTAAAAAGATTTTTAATGGTGGGCACTTGGGATGTATTGTCCCATTGGCCAGGAGTGCCAGAACTGCTACTCTCTTCTCGTTACCTAGTGGGCACCTGTGGCGAAGCCCAATTAACCTATAGATATAATAAAGAAATTTGCATTTATTTCTATTCCTATTTATCTCTGGTTCATGTTTTGTGGCAAACATTGTGCAGGATCATAATTAATATTGTGCAACATGTTAAACAATCATAGCAAAACTGTGATGGAAGAAATATTTTATATTCCTTGTTATAGGAATTCTACCAGACATCTAACTTGCTTCAGTTTACTATTTTATTTTTTTATTGTTTATTATATTTTAAAATAAAGAAACTAAAGATTTATTAATTTTTAGAGTTGAGTATATTATGTTAAATGATTGATTTTGAAAGATGTTAGAAGTTTCTCATATGTTTATTAATTTCACTTCATTTTAATTAATAAGTTTTTATTTAGGAGAAATTTTTATATGAAAAAATATTTTTATTATTTTTCTAAATACTTATTTTTTTTTATTTTATTCACCAAGCCCTAATAGATAGTCTCTAAAACTAAATATTCTATACAATTTTGTAGATTTTCATTTATTTTAAACGAATAACTAACTACTTTATAAAATATATATTTTACATTTAAACTGTGTAAGATCTAATTATTGTGTCAAATTTTTTAAACATTTATTTTACGACACTGAATTTTAAAAGCTATTATAATTTTCAAAGCAAAACCTTATAAGCTAGCATTATAAAACTTTTTTTTAGATTGTTTTTGTTCTAGCTTGTTAATATTTGTTCATTTGCCTGCATTTTAAATTGTTTTTATGAATTATTGGTTGTGTATTTTTATTGTGATTCTTGAATATCAATTGTTTTATTAGTTTTTGTGATTTTCCAAAGAAATTTACTTTTTTTCTGAAATTAAGTGGAGGTCAAATTTGGCAATCTTTTTTTGCATGCATTTTCATCTGACTTGCTAACAGACATTAAATAATAGTCAGTCTAAAAGCTATGAACTACAAGGAAAAATTTAATCCGCACAATATATTATTGTTTCAAATTTTCAATCTCAAGAATGGTTGAACACTACAGTAAAATATTTTTAATTGACCAAGAACATTTTTCAAACAGTCTTAAGTTGAAGTATTTTTTATTATTATTAAAGATTGCTTTTTGCATTGACGCCTGTATTGGATGAAATAAAAAATGTCTATCACAGGCCAAAGCTGTCTTAGTCAGTCAGCTGCTCTACTACGTACAACATCCAGACTAATATCTAAGTTGTCTGCAAATAATAAATAAGTTTTCTAATAATTTGAATATTTGCTCATGACGCTGTTTCTGAAAAGTAGTTTAAAACAGGTAGTATATTTTAAAAGAAAAAAAAAAGCTTTTTACCATTCATGTCGAAAACTAAGGAAGAAATTTTTTTAAAGACAAATACTGTGGTGTTCTACTTTTAGCTTAGCATAATCACTTACCCCAATTTTTCTAAAAGAATCTCTCAGATTTGATGTCTGTAAAATTTTTTATTCATTCTTTAAATATAAGAAATATTAAAAATAGTTTTGTCTGTGTATATCCTAATATTTATTTATTAATAAAGGTGCTAATTTGCTAGCTGTACCTCTTACATGGATGTGTTTCATTCATATTATGTAATTTTCAATTTATTATACAAATTTCATTCATCTTAAGCTCTATTTGCTATTCTAAGTCTAAATCAAGTATTTTTTTTCATTAAACACAAAAAATAAGAATGAATTGTATTAAATATTTATTTGTGAACAATTTCTAGTCTTTAATTTTTTTAGATTGAAATGTATTTTGAAGTTTAAGTTAATACTTAGTGTCAAAAACATACTTTTTTTAAAAGTTATTTGTAAGAGCCACTTAAATTAATTATAAATATTTTAATTCTTTTTCCTCTATCTTTAAGTATGTATGTTGTAATGTAAAATTTAGGTTTATTGACATTTATAAGCTGCTACTGAAATTGATAAGTATATTTTTATTTAATTATATTTATATATAATTATATTTAATATATATTCTAATTATATTTAATATATAATTATATTTCATATATATTTATATTTAATAAGTATATTTATATATAATTATATTTAATTTTCAGTTTTCATGTTTATTAATTATGAAGATTTTAAAAGTACATGTAATTTTTTTCATTTCTAATATTTGTTACCGTATTTAATTTATGAGGGGTAACTTATTCGATTAGATTATCAGTTATTGCAAGAAGAAAAGCTTTTGATGAGTTAATAAAGTGCATTTTTTTTTCTTCACCTAAATAAGTTCACTGAAAAACTGAACTATAATGAAACATTATTAAAAAACACCTGGCTACTGGAAAACTAAACACTATTAAAGCAAAAACAAAAGTCATATTAATAATAGTCAAAAAATAAATAAATATATAAGTCATATTACAGTAGGGAACCAATTATCCGGAACGATCGGGACCATCGCTATTCTGGATAACTCATTTTTCCAGTTTTCTGAATCGCTACAAAAAGCCGTTTTTTTTATTGTTAAACCAAACTAAAAAAAATAATATTTGAAAATAATCTTAAAAAGAAGAAAAAACGATTAAGTAATACACTAATGATTATTTCCAAAATGATGGTAAGGTAAACATCTTTCAAAAAAGAAAGAAAAATCCTAAAATTTTAAGAGGAAAAAAATAATTTTTTTTAAAAAAATGGCGGGAAAATTTATTGAATTTCGTTCCGGTTTTTTGATTTCCGGATAACGGGTCCTGTACTGAACTAATAATTAATAGTCATTTCCTAAAAATATTGTTAATTAATTGTGTTTATTTCCTTTTGCTTTAGAACTTAAACATTTAATCAGTGAATCATTCAATACCATTTTTATTATTTTATTACTTTTTAATTAAAAATTAAATTACTTTTTCCTCTTTTTGCTTTTTTTAAGAAATAGTGTTTTCCAGCTAATCCAAAGCTCTGAATAATACGTCTTGACAATTAAAAATGAGAATTTTTTTTTAATAAAAATAGCTTTTTTTTCTTAGAAAATAAAACCTTTACAAAAACTAACCACCAGCAAATAATACAATAAAAGATAAAATATGGATTTAATTTGAAATGAAAACCATTTAAATTCATTATTGTACAACAATCACTGTATATCCCATTGTATAAGTCTTTTCAAACCCCCAAAATTTCAGGAAAAATTAGGTGATCGACTTATAACAGCAGTAACAAAGTCGGACATTCACTGATCGTAAAATATTGATGCATTATAAATCTATATCAATCAACCCCTTTTAAAAAACTACTTTTCATACGTTATATACTATTAACTTAGTATTTTTTCTCATCTTTTTTGCTTTACATATAAAGGTTTTTTAGAGACAATACTGTAAATTACGTTCAGAAAAAATTACAGAACATACCATAAAGATAAATTTTTAAAAATTTTACAACACCAGTGTCGAATTCAATAACGTTAGTATTGCTGTCAAAAATATCCCTTTGTGCTCTGGATTCTACTTCATCTGCTGAGTCCAACAAAAAATTTTCTTCACTCACTTCATATATAATTTTACAATAAAATAAGTTTTCATATTTCATTTTTTTCCCCCTGCAGTCAACATTAAGCACTTGACATACAAGAAATTTGCTATCTCGTAATACAAAATCGAGGGTTGGCTTATATACTGGGATATACTGTAATACGTTATGTGTATTTAAATAAACATTATGGTAACTTTGGTTGAATTAATAGATGTAAAATAATCAATTATGAGCTACTTTGCAATTAAATATTTTGCAAAATCAGATAGCTACACACGAAAAATAAACTTATAAGACATTGCTCACTATTTTCAGTTAAGTTTAAAAAATGATGTAGTTTTAAGTGCTTTTTAATTAAATAATGAGTTTTTAAAAAATTTACTCTTATTTGGTTTAAATTTGTTCTGAACCTTACACTATATTCAATGAATTTTGGCTGCTTCAGTTATTTCATTATTGTGCTTGAAACAACATTTATATATATTTAAAGGATTTGAGCAATATAGTAATAAATCAAATATTTCAAATTGTGAAAGAAAACATTTTTGTGAAAACACGAAAATTTTTCTGTTGGCAATAAAATATTTCCGTGTATTGTGCTGTCATCTAGTGACAGCAAAATACACAAAAATTTGAATCAAAAAAACAATACCAAAGAACGGTTAAATGCGATTTTTTTTTTAAAAAAAAGTGTAGTTTATTATTTATTTATAGTCTTCATTAATTATGATTTGCAATTTTTGTTGAACGGGATGTTTTAAATGCATAATTCACTATCAGTAACAGTTCATTCAGCTTTTAAAATTTAATAAGTACTTTTATGTAAGTAATAATGTCTGAATCAAAAACAAGTATTCAGGGTATTCTGGTTTCTTAATCTCAGGTTTGGGTTAAATCCATGGCCGGATTAACCTATAGGCACACTAGGCACGTGCCTAGGGCCTACGAAATTCAGGGGCCTACGAAGAACTTGGNAACTTTTTAGTTATAAACTCAGGAACTTCAAATACTTATCAATGTAATATTTTTTTGTGAATATTGTGAAAATATCCTAAATTATATTTATATTGTACAGTACAGAGTGAGCACAAAGTCTTTTTCCTGTTTACAAAAATGTACTACATAAAAATTTTTTAGATTTGTTTGTTTCAAATTGTAAAGACTGGATTAAGTTTCTAATGAGATGGATCACCTATTCTCTCTAGCTTTAAATTTTAGTTTAAGCATTAAATCAGATCAATACTTGTTAAATATACTTATAAATGAATAGTGCCATTTTATTATAGGGTGAACATTAAAAAAATTGCTATATGTGATTAAAACTTCAGCTATAATAGCTATAGCGATAAAAATTTATTAAATTCTGAACTTAGTTTTTATTTCATAAATATCGGAGAAAGATTATATGCTCACTTACTACATATTTTAACAAGTGAAACTAAGTTTTTTTTTTAGTGCAAAATAATATGAAAGTAGCAAGTAACATTTAAAAGTTCCATACACACATACCTAAATTCTGAATATATAGTTTTTGTTTCGAGTATATAGCGAAATTGGTAAATGAAAATATGTATGATATTATTACTATAGTGTTATGGTATAGTTCCTTAAGATGACTTCAATTCAGGTAATATTATTCAATTATAATAATAGTTACATTTTATTTGTTGAATTAAAATTTGATAACTCTTTATCTAAACTGTAAGATAAAAATATTAAATAGTAAAATTTTTACTTGAAATTAACAGGTAAGAATTTTTTTATCCTGTTTGTTTACTAATCTGCACACAAAGCTGTTTTTTGTTATATAAATAAATGCTTTTGCATTATCAGTTGTATCAACTTCAACATTAAATTTTTTTAAAAATAAAATTTGCAAAAATGCATGACTGCAAAATTATGCTTAAAATGCAAAAGAAATTAATGTAAATAATAAGTAACTTTTATAATTCTTTATTCAATTATGACACACTCATATCGACATTAAATGTGAAATAAAGTTGTATAAGCAATATGAATTTATGAAATTTGAGATTTATATTTAATATCTAATTTCAGCGATAATGGAGTTGCAAGAAAGATACCTCATTTAGCTATGTGAATTGAATACCTCATTATTTGAAATTTAGTAGAGTATCTAAGTAAAAATTTTCTTACTTAAAATATTAAATTGAGAATTATTTGAATTGGTCTAATCATTTTGTTTATAAACTGCATCTATGTTTTCCAGTCCTTTTAAATATTTTTCTGAATGGTATTTTATATCTGGTCACGAGTGTTTTAGGGAATATTTAAATATGTATCTATTCATCTATACTCATGAAATTTTTAGTGATGAATTTTAAAAAAATAAAGTGTAATTCATCAAATAAAGTGCGCCATAAATCGTTCAACTCATTAATAAGTCTGAGTTATATTTCCTGCATAGTTGTTACTCTTTCTTGTCTGTGTAATTTTTAAGTGTGTGCTAGTAATTTTATGACTTGTATATAAAGATTTGAAAAAATAAATTTTTTTTTGTCAGAATTGTTCATCTACTTCATTTATTTTGCAACAAATCTAAAAGATTATAAAAGAAATATTTTACAACAATGAAATCTAAACTAAATAATCGTTGTTTCTATCATTTTAGGTTTTTGACAGTTTAACCAGTTTTTGACAGCTTAATCAAGTTTTGAACACTTGTGTCAAAAACCCAACCCTGCATGCTTTTAATTTTTTTTTGAGAGATGAAAATCTTTGTTAGCTGAAAGAATGACAAAAATTATCCTATATATAAGGTATTAAATATATTTTTTGATGCATTTTCTTGCAATTCTTGAAAAAAAAATGACTCCACAGATTAAAATTGCATGTTATATAAATGTGTAAGAAGGGAATGACAACTCACAAAAAGTAAGTAACTAATCTGTATTGTTGAAATAGACTGCTTCCTACATTTCTATCAATTTCACACAAATAGAAAATAACCATGTTACTTTCATTTTAGGTTTTCTGACAGTTTAACCAAGTTTTGGATGCTAATGCCAAAAACCCCCAACCCTGCATGCTTTTAACTTTTTTTTGACAGATGAAAATCTTTGTTAGCTGAAAGAATGACAAAAATTATCCTACAACCAAGGTATTAAATATTTTTTGCATCTATCCTTGGAATTCCTGAAAACTCCACAGATCAGAATAGCATGTTATATCAATGTGTGAGAAGTGACCAACATCTGCAGAAATTATTTTTTGTCCCACTTTGTAGAAATAATTTTAATTTTTAGCATTTAATGTTTCTATAAATTACATACAAATTGGTTCATTGCATTGGAAATGAGAGAGAACAATGTACATGGATCATTTCTCATTACCCTGTTACGTAATGTGATTTTCATTAAAATATCCACGGCTGGGTAGTCGTCGGGTACCCACATGAAAATTCATCTCCAACTACAAATTTTATCTGCCAAATAGCCAATATAGTAACTTTGCATCAATTGTAAGAATTAATTTATTTGCATGTATATTGTCTGTTACAGAAAAGAATTCTCTTTTATTTAAAATGTGGCAGATTTTATGAAAGCATAATATATTTAACATCAATATAAGAAAATAAAATTAATATTCTTAAATATTTGTCTATTGCTATCGCCTTTTAATTATAATTATTTGAAGAATTTCTTTTATTAATTATTCTAGTGGTTTCTTACGTCACATTCTAAATGTATGCATATTTGAATTTTTTTAAAATGTATTTTTAACAAAATTATGCCGTTTTCTATAACTGTTAGTATTATGATAAAATTGCTGAGATATGCATTTAAGTTTCGTGTTCAATTCTGTAGTTAAATTCACCAAGTCAGCTTTGTTTAAAAAGTGTTTGAATTATGAGGTGAACAAGTTTTTACAAAATTTTAAATGGCAAAATCTGAACATAATTATTTAAATGAAAAACACTTTTTAAGTTCAAAAGCTATTTGAATAATTTTGTTCAAATCTTTCACTAAAATCTTTATAAAATCTAGAAAACAAGATTTGTTAAATATAAAACTAAAAGAAAAGTAGACTGTCAAAACTATTAACTTTTTATTCTATGTATTACAAAATATGTACATTATTTACACATAGATATATAACTTAATCTTTTGAGAGTAATGTTAAAGCTCTAATATGTTCTAAAAATTTGTACATACTGATTTCTTCTTTTAATTCTGAATTACAATCTTCATTTTTCTTTTCAACTTCAAGAGCTGTATGTATTGGAAGTGAAGGCTAGTAAAAGAACTGATGTTAAAATATTTGCTTAAAAATACAATTAGAAACAATCAATTTTTGTACACTGTTAACTTTTTATATTTTTAGCTTTCAATGTGTCAAACATTTTATTAACAGGGTGTGTGATGCTCAAGGCTTATACAAATGATGGCAACCTTAAAAGAATTAGAAATTTCCACAGCATCCTAATTCTATAATCTATGTTTGATTAATAAAAAAAAAGAGAAATGGTCAGAATTAAAGAATAATTAGCAGATTTCTTATTTAAAATTCTAACAACCTTTTCAGACTTGCAACTAATAATAAAATGTAGTGAAGCAGTGACACAAAGAAAATAAAATTACCCAAATATATGTTTGTTTAGTGCGACGTTTATGTCTACTGCATAATATATTAGTTCTGTAGAATAAGGCTTTGTACAGTTGCTTAATTTTTCTTTTTCTGATATCCTATTTGTCATATTTTTTAAGAGGGGGAGTTTTTTCTACAATATGTAAAGCAGTAGTAAGATGCTTGGTTTAATAAAGTAGAATTAAAATACTAACCACTTAATCTAAATAATTTATATGTATAAAAAATTTGAATTATTCAAGCATAGAATTAAGCAGTCACCCCTATTATTTCCCAGCATGATACCCTTTTATTAATTTTCTTTTGCAATGCAATATGTTCGGTAATTACACTTTACTTTTCTTTGTTTTATTGAGGTGAAAAGTAGCAATTGAAGTAAACCTTTAAGATTTTATGACAACCTATTCCTTTTTTTCACTGAAAAACAAAGTTTTAAAATTTTCCTACTTTTTGTGAAGAAGGATGTATGGTTATTGTTTAAAGCAAAAAGTTATAAAATAGCAATATTATTCGAATAAAACTTTTTGTTTAGTTTATTAATAAAAATGTGAGGTTGAGCTGCTGAATGGTGGTAAAAGTTCTAATTTTTTGTCCCTTAATGACCATATAAGAGGCATGGTACTTTTTACTTATTGGGTCAAATGCCTGTATATTGCGGCAAATATTTTATTCTTCACTGCTCTTATTTTTTTAGTATTTATAATTAGTATTTACCTTTACTACAGTAGGACCCACTTATAACGAGCCTGCATTTAATGAGGGAAATAGAGTGTTTGGTACAATGTTAAAAATGTATTACAGTTTCATGATTCTTCAAAGTTGTTCAAAACCAGGTGTAACCTTCAGAGAAGGGGAAATGACAGTCTGACTGAACACCTTTCAACAGATAAGGAAAGAGTTTATGGGTGGGCGGGTGAAATAATTCCAGAGATGCATGCAGAGTTGCATTGTTGTGTTGCAACAAGTTGGGAAGGGATGAGAAAAAAACTTTTTATTGTAGGTAAATCTGCAAAACCAAGATGCTTTAGCAGAGTAAAATGCCTGCCACTGATTTATAGATCTAATAAAAATGCATGAATGACTTTAAAATTATTTGTCTCATTTTTGCATGAGTGGGAAAAGGTGCTTGAAAAGCAAAAACGAAAGATTGCCCTTATCGTGGACAAATTGCTCAGCTCGCCCACTTGTCAGCAATTTAAAGGACAAAAAGCTTGTTTTTTTTTTTTGTCTCCTAACTCAAGGTGTACCCAGTTTTAAATGCTATTACAGAAGGCAAATAATTCTTAAGATGTTAGACAAAATGGAAAAGAATGAGGATTTTAAAATTTCTGTTCATGACAGATGCATTGAGAAGTGTAACACAATCATATATCTAAAACTGCTTTAGAATAGCTAGGTGGATTGCCACTCTCAGTGTAGTTACAACAAAAGAACATTTAGGAGTTTAACGATGTTTTAAACATCGATGATTACACACGCTATGTTGTTGAACATTACAAAACCTTGGACAGTTTTGAAGCAATCGATACTACAGATGACGAAACATTTAATGCGTTAAGTATTTTAAGATGAAAATTAGCTGGAAGCAAGTCAGGGAAGTTGTTTTTATTAATTTATAATTTTTTCATACTAACCTTAAATTCAGATTTAGCGAGTATTTTTTTGTTTTCCGAGCTGCTCGTTATATACGGGTCCTACTGAATAATAAATTATATAACTGTAATACAGTCAGTACTGCCTTTATGGTCACCCCGCTTATATGGTCAATTTTCTAAAGTCCCGTCTAACTTAATAGGAAACATGTGTTAAAGCTCACCGCTTATATGGTCATCCTATTTTTCGAGTTACTGGTTATATGGTCAGTTTCCTTTTTTTTCTTTTGAAAAAAGATACATTTTAAGACATTTCTTCAGACAGGAAGCCAAGAAAAATGACCACAAGGTAAACACATTCCTTCGACCCCCGGAGAGAACTGGAATTTCCCCCTCTATTTCGTCACCTTACCCTCTTTTCTCTTTTGCATTCATTGATGACCTTACCCTCTCCTCATTTGACCACTCGCAATCTTTTCCCTGTCCAAGGCCAAAAGGTCTTTTGATCGTTTGAAGTTATCTCTTAGAGCTTGAAAAGGAGTTGAAGTTGAGAAAAAAGAACATTTTTATTGGATTACTGAACGCATAACGTATCCATGCTTTCATTATGGCTTCGAAAAGAAAGAATTTAACAATATCGTAAAATAATGAATTGGTTGAAAAGTTTAAACTTTGCCAAAGAAAATTCTATACCGCGAACAACTTTAAACAACATTTTAGCAGCCAAACGTAGCTCTCCAGATGTTTCAATTAGCGACAGAGAAAGAAAACGTCAGCGTGTGTCACCTTATGAGAATGTGAAGAAGGCTCTTCTGTCATGGATCAAATATGCACAGTCACAAAATGCTCCTATATCCTGGAATATTCTAAAAGAAAAAGCTTTAGAAATAGCTAAAGAACTTGGAGAATCAAATTTTGTTGCAAGCAATGGCTGGACACAGCGATTCAATGCAAGAAATAACCTATATTTTAAGAAATTGTGTGGAGAAGCTGCTGATTTTGACAACAGTTCTTTAAGAGAATGGAAAGACGTAGTGTTGCGAGATATTCATGAAAGATATGAACCTGCTAATGTGTTCAACATCGATGAATGTGGACTTTTCTATGGGTCTTACCCGACAGAACCCTTTGCTTCAAAGGAGAAAAAAGTAAGGAACGCTTAACAGTTTTGTTATCTGCAAACATGGATGGTTCGGAGAAAATGATTCCTTTGGTGATTGGAAAATTTCTGAAACCGAGATGCATGAAAAATTGTAAATCTTTGCCTGTTTTGTACGATGCCAATTCAAAGGAATGGATGACCCAAACGATCTGGGAAAAAACTCTCAGAAGGTGGGACCTACATTTTTCAAAGAAAAACAGAAAAGTTGCATTGATTGCTGATAACTACTGTTCTGTTGTGGGCTTGAAATCGATTGAGCTCGTATTTTTGCCTCCAAACTGCACATGTGTGTTGCAGCCTCTAGATCAAGGCATAATTCAAAGCTTCAAGTCTATGTATAGAAAGCTTCTTCTACGGGATATGATCACCACCATAGACAGAAAAGAAGAATTTCACTTTTCAGTTTTGAACGCACTGTTCTATATTGACCAAAGCTGGAACATGGTGTCGTCGAAAACTATTGAAAATTGTTTCCGTCACGCGGGGTTCCACTGTTCTCCAGACTCTTCGGTATCATTAGAGGACCCTGAGGAAGATCTTCCATTGGCTGAATTGGCAGAAAATCTTCGAAACCGAGGCTATGCAATGCCGNTGACAACAGTTCTTTAAAAGAATGGAAAGACATAGTGTTGCGAGATATTCATGAAAGATATGAACCTGCTAACGTGTTCAACGTCGATGAATGTGGACTTTTCTATAGGATCTTACCCGACAAAACCCTTTGCTTCAAAGGAGAAAAATGTATAGGCGGAAAAAAAAGTAAGGAACGCTTAACAGTTTTGTTATCTGCAAACATGGATGGTTCGGAGAAAATGATTCCTTTGGTGATTGGAAAATTTCTGAAACCGAGATGCACGAAAAATTGTAAATCTTTGCCTGTTTTGTACGATGCCAATTCAAAGGCATGGATGACCCAAACGCTCTGGGAAAAAACTCTCAGAAGGTGGGACCTACATTTTTCAAAGAAAAACAGAAAAGTTGCATTGATTGCTGATAACTACTGTTCACTGTTCTGTTGTGGGCTTGAAATCGATTGAGCTCGTATTTTTGCCTCCAAACAGCACATGTGTGTTGCAGCCTCTAGATCAAGGCATAATTCAAAGCTTCAAGTCTATGTATAGAAAGCTTCTTCTACGGGACATGATCACCACCATAGACAGAAAAGAAGAATTTCACGTTTCAGTTTTGAACGCACTGTTCTATATTGACCAAAGCTGGAACATGGTGTTGTCGAAAACTATTGAAAATTGTTTCCGTTACGTGGGGTTCCACAGTTCTCCAGACTCTTCGGTATCATTAGAGGACCCTGAGGAAGATCTTCCATTAGCTGAATTGGCAGAAAATTTTCGAAACCGAGGCTATGCAGTGCCGGGCGTAAATTTGTATTCCCAAATAGACGTTGATGTCTTCACTAATTGTGAAGCAACCGTGGAAGGCATTGTATCTAATGTCTTAAATCTGAATGCTGAAGGAAGTGACGATGAGGATGATACTGAATGCAATAAAAAGTCTGTATCAACAGCTGATGCTCTTAAGGCTATAGATGACTTAAGGTGTATAGTTCATGCAGCAGATGAACATTTAAAAACTATCAGAGACTTAGAAAAAGTTGTTTTAACAACCAAGAAGAAGAAACTGACAAGCTTATTGGAATATTTTTTTGAACATGTACATATGCTAAGGTTAAAAATTATTTTTGCATTCTTTCTTATTATGCACCTTAATAATTTTTAAACGTTTTTGAATTATTTGTTTAAAAAATACATTCTGATTCCAGAATATATTCACGCCATATTTGGTTATCGCATTTATGGTCATAATATTCTGGACCCATGAGCTGACCATATAACCAATACTGACTGTATTTTAAATATATCTGTTGGGAAGTAAACTTTAAATACGCCCCGACCCTTAAGGGATAATATAGAGAGCGAATTGTTATTTTCTAATCACTGAAAAAAAATTGGAAAATTAAATGTTAGCAGGTATGTTTTTTTTCAATTGATGATAGTAACTGCTTAAAAATAGATTGTTGATAAAGGAACAGAATGACCACAAACATTCAAGAAAAAAATTCGTTGACTTCTTCAAGTTTCCTAATAAGAGGCATAAATTTTATTTTTAATTTTTTAGTTATGCCTTATTCTAATACAAGGTGCATAGTCAAATTTTTAAAGAAAAAGCACTCAAAAAATATTTTAAGCACTGAAAAACTTCAAAAGATTTAAGCAAAGAAAATTAAGCACTTTTTACAAATACCCAATTAAAAAAAAAAAGACTAAGGGCTAAAATGAAAAATTGAAAATAAGCACCTTTCAGCACTTTTTTTAAAAACGCTACACATCCTGTTATAGATTAAGTATACTTGGAAGAAAATCCCATTAGAATTATTACAAGACCAATTCTTTTGTCAAAATATTGGAATTTTTTGCACCTCAAACACAAATTCATTTTTCTGATTTTTTGGGTATTTTAATTAAATTTCTTGATTTTTCCAGATGGATAAAATTCTCTGATCTGTACAAAATTTCTCCACAGGATTCATTAAAAGCAAAATTATGTTTTAAAATGTATTATAAGCAAAGAAGTTCTTAAAATTGAATTTAAAAAAAAGTTTATTACCTCTTCTAATATTGTTGTTTCCCAGTCAGAAAGATAAGGTTCTTTTTTAATTAAATCAAACAGTATTTTATGCTGATGCGATCTAGACCTTTGGACTTTGATGCTCACCTAAAACATTAAGAAAAAATATTTACAAATTTTTAGTCTATAATTTTATAACTTTTATATTTAAAGTAATTTCTTTGATTACAGCTTTTGATTCTGATAAAATCTTACAGTAAATAACATTAATTTTAGACAAAAATAGTTTATAAAGTGTTAATAAAGATATATCATGAGAAACAATTCATAAAAGTGATATTACATGAAGCTGTACCATAGCGATTGCTATACTACCAATTTTTAAAATTACTAAAGTTCATTATGAAGAGCATTTACAGTGAACAGACAATTATTCAACTATTATTACCAATAGAAATAAATTTTCTAAAAATGATTAAAATTGTTAAAGCAACAACATTAGGTAAATTATGTGTTTCAGCATATAGATTTTGGTCTACTAAGCCTTTTAAACTGATTAACAAAAGCCACATTAAGTGTGTATGATAATAGTTATTTGGTTAATGAAATATACAGATTATAAGCAAAAATAGAAGAATGGTTTTATTGTAATTTTCACTTTTTAATGGTTACTCTGATTAACGTCTATTAACGTTTAGTAAAATTTGACTTTATAAATGCGTAAAAATAAATTTTGCTTTAAAATTTGTTTTGATATTTAATTATTAAAATACCCTTAATATCAACAAGTGACATTACGAGAAAAATTTATCAAAGAAGCATCCTATTATGATAAATAATAGGGCGATTATGATTCTAATAAGGGTTGGTGTGTATTATTGTGGAAACTTCAGAAGTTACATCTGCAAGTAATTCCGTGCAAGAAAAGGAAAATTTATAGTTTAAAAACTGCAAATTAGTCATAAAAAGGCTTCTTTATTTTTTAGTTAAATATCTTATCCATGAACACCTAAATATTTTTAACATTAAATACAAGGATAACAATACTTAGCAAAAATAATTTAATTCAGCTTAACCCTTTATAGGGCCATTTTTTAATATTAGTGATATGTTAAAAATATTTTTAGGGTTTAGATAGATTTTTAAAAAGAAATTCATTTGACTCATTACTGTTCAATGCATTAAGCATGGACGTTGGAATAATAGACCTTCCAACTAATATAAATAGTTCGCACAGACAGTGGATTTTAAATGCCTATTTGTTTAACATGTCACATAGAGTCATGCCGTTTTATTGAATTTATGAGCTGAGGCATTAACTGTTTAGATGCTATGTCCAACATATTAAAATTTGGTTTTTAAACCATTTTTTTTTTTTGTGAAAAAGTGGATGGAATTTTGGAAATTTTATTTATTAAAAAGAATTGGTCATAAACATCCAAATTTATTTCTATTATTAGTTATTAATTCAGAGTTTAAAACTTGTTGAGAAATGAATGAACACATAATGTAAAATAGCTTCCCAGTGTTGACCTCTCTTCTAGACTGCATGCAAACCTCTACTGTTACCCAACCTTACTACTTTATGTAACTACCATTAATATTGTTTTTATTTGAATTTTTTTTTTTGCATTAAGTTGTCAGGAAATAACTGCACAAAAAAAAGCTTTCCATCAACAGTTAAAAACTAATTAGGTTGGTGCCGAGTATACCTTCCACGAATCTATATAAAAAGGCTTAAAAGAGACATAAGCAGACTAAAATTACTAACGAATAATTAATATTAAACGTTCATGCATAGAATTGAAACAAGAATGATACATACAGTTAAATGATCAAATATATGATATTGTTGATGTAAACCTAAAGCTTCAACAATTAAAGATGAATCATTCTGTGAAATTTTGCCATCCACCCAATCTACTTTTTCTGTCACAATGGCGACCTTCTTCTCTTTGTTACAAAGCTGAAGGGCTCCTTTGACACCATATTTCGGGATAAATACAAGTACACCATTTGTACGAAGTGAGTAGATAACAGCATCCACAAGAATTGGAGAATCGTTTCCTTTAGAAGTTAAATCATCAAAGAAGAGGGCTAAGAAAAGTTGCTGAGCATCTTTTTCTATGTCTTGAGCTGCCTGCAACATAATGATTATCCTTTATTAAAATATGCAGACCAATTGTTTTAAATTGAAATTTTTAAGGAATGTAAATCAATCTTTTTTACACCTTTGAATAGTGATCAATCATTTTTTTGCACAGGAAAAATAATGTATGGCATTTCAACCCTTTAAATGTCAATAATACTGGATTCAACACATATTATAAATTTACAATTAATGTTATTGCAGGAGACGCTTAAACTTTTTGTTAGATGCTAAGAGGCATTGATGGCTCACCTTTTCAAACATACCAGGTGTATCTCAAACACATGCTGTTGTAGCAATAGTCTTGCAAAAACTTTTGAGTATTTATTGGTTGTTAACAGATGGAACAGTATAAATAAAATAGGATTTTTTATATATATTTGTATATTTTATTTTATAACCGTCGTTGAACAGCCGTCCTTATTTTGAGTTTACGACTACTAATGATCAACTCCGTAGCTTTGTAATTTTGAACCCAGTCCAGAAGACAAGGGATCTCCTGGATTGGGAAAAATTTTGCCTTCGTGGGGGACTTTTTGTGGCATCTAATCCATATTTCAGTTACAAGGAGAGGAAAACCATGAAATCCTCTCACGGTTAGCCTGACGGCAAAGAGACTTCAATCCATGATCCGCCTACCACTGAGAATATTTTAGGTCAGCACTGTGATCAGTGCAAGCCAAGTGCGGAATTCCTATTGACCAGCCATCACTGGGATTCAAACCTGGTTCCATTTGCAATTCCACATTTATTCTTTTTTTATTCTTTTTTGTTTGCCTGTTTTGGCTTTTTATTTTTTCACACCACATTTTTAAATCACCCTTTATAAAAATCCCAATAGCAGAAAGCTCTGTATTGATCTGCCGAGTTTGTGATTAGATATTTGTATTTAAAGATTTTTATTTAAAAAGCAAAAATAAATCTGAAGCAACCACCGCCGTGCCCCATTAATTCTACTACTAGAATGAAACTTAAGCTTCAATGCACAGCACCATTTCATTTATAAAAACATCTATCTCTATCATATTACATTAATATTTATCATATTACTTAAAAATTTCTATTTGAAACTAATCAGTTATAGTATTTTTTTAAAAATCAAAGTGGCAATAACAAAAGAAAACATTCATTCAGTTTTAACAAAAATTCACTAATCAATAAACATCAAATTCCTCCTCCTCGTTTTTTAAGCAACTTATAGTACCATATGGTTATATCCATTGCTTCTATGTGGCAATCTATAAGATAACTATGTTTGTTGCTATACAGGTAATTTGGAAATATACATTTTCAGATCAAAATTTTCACTTTTTTCCCCCCTTCACATTTCTAAATTCATTTTAACTGAAATGGAAATAAAAACCCTTCTGATTTGCCTTAAACTCATATTACTGATACTCAATATATGAAGACTTTACTAGCAATTATACATGTAAGTATATGATAATATATAGTGATTTAACATTATAGTGTGATATGTTAAAAAGCTTTTAATTTTATTATTTCAGATAACTACTTTGGATAATATCCAGGATTTATGAATTTTTTTTTATTTAAAAAAATCAGTACAAGAAATTGAGTTTATAATTAGCTGATTTTTATAAAAATAACTATAATAGAAATATTATTAAAAATAAACTAGCTTAAAATTGTTTCTCAGTCATGAAACTATTTTACAGTAATTGATTTAAATCAACAAACCCTGAAAATATTCAACACATACTTATATTCTGATTTACATCCGCTTTATTTCATTAACTAGTTATTTCAATTCATTATATTTCTTAAAAACTCGCTTGAATAAGTAATACGAAGAGAAAAGATTTATTAATTATAATCACTAGATTAAATGGTTAGGAATTAGTAAATATAATTAACCAATATATAATCCTTATAAAATTTCAAATTTTTTAATAATACTTCACCAACATATTTTTTAATTTGTAGAACTACCAATAATTAATTGTTAGGAAAGACAAGATTTATCACATTAATATATAAGTAATACTTGATAATAAGTTTTTAAAATTTAAGAAAAGTAAGCATAATAAAACCAAATGAACATATCCTGATAAGGATAAGATTCTAAACAGTATATATTGTTCTTAGCCACAGACAGAACATGTTACTTACTCAATCTTCTTCTAAACATAAACATTTGTATTAAACTACTTCTCTATATAAATATAAAATCGCATTACAACAATGTTGGTGATTTCTACATGAAAATAATTACTTGTATAAAAATGAAAAAGATACAACTAATTTTTTATTGGTAATAAGAAGTACTAGTTTAACTAGAAAAATAGATGTAATCTTATTTGAAATTCTTACTTTATGTTTGATATTCATGTGATTACAAAGTTCCTCCATTTCTGTTGCCTCAAACTTTGTATTTTCATTTGAAGCTTCAACAGCAGCAAGAAGCAATCTATGAACCTTAAAAAATAAAATTCATTCAATTCTAACATTTTCATTTTTTCTACATATATGAGTGAGCATGTTGATGGAGATTAATAAATCAATAAAAATTATATTTAGGTTGGGCAGAAATGAACAACACAAATAATTTTATTTGGGCACACTAAATTTTATTAAAAAATCAGATATCCTGCTATTTAGTTAGGAAAAGTTTCTGAGATTTCATTGCGATGCCCTGACCTCAATATGTCCAAAAGTCCTAAACACTTTCTAGTTCAAAATATTTTTATTTATTTTTTCCTTCTGATGTTATGAAATGGAGACAATTTCGTACATTTCTTTCTTTGTTGAATATATTTATGTTGCAGACTTAAATGCTTAAGTTTATTTATCCATACTTGTATATATTACCAGCTTGATTGAATGAGGTTACATGGCTCCCGTGTTCTTAAGGATAAACTACCTCCTGCTCAGTATATAGACACAGAAAGTGTCAGGTAGGCTGAGTGGCTAAAGGCACTCATCTAGCAAGTCGGAGGTCCTGACTTTGATCCTCCAAGATCTCCCGGTAAAACTAATAGTTTCAAAGAAATGATGGTTTTATGTATGAAAATTATAACATTTGCTTTATACCCATTTATATATTAAACTATTAGTTCTATTGATATAAATTTTTATTTTATTGGATTAAACATTCAAAAATACATAGCAACATCAGACATGTAAACAGGTATAAGTATGATCGTAATTTTGATTTACAAACATTTCTATAACTTTTGAACAATTAATTCCATTATTTTGGTCTCATTCGATTCAGTGAAAAAAAAAACAACATAAAAAACAATACCTTCATTATTACCTAAATAGTAAATTTAGATGCATACATATGTATAAATACAAAAAGGTACTTTTAATACATAATACATTTAATCTAAACCATTAGTTTTATTGATTTGAGCATAATTTTATTCAATTCAGCATTAAAATATACATAAGAAACAATATTTCATTTGTTTATATAGCAACAGTTAATTTCTCTTCACTCCAAAATATGTATAGTACATGCACACACACAAAAAGGAAGACCCAGAATAACTTTTGATTAATGATCTGATTTTCACTAACTAGAACTCAATGGTTCATGGGGTGACCTCTAACATGCTAATTAATTAGTGCAGATGATAAAAATCAAAATCAGACAAAAAAAAGTACTTTCTTTAACTGAACATACTTTTTTCCCCAATGGATTTGGATTCCTGACCCACAAAATATAGTCCCCAATAGTTAGGTAAGATCGCACCTCTTAATAGTTATAATTTGGACCTCTTAATAGTTATAATAATTTTTGCTTATGTTGCCATATATCGAGAACTTTCTAAACCAATTTAAACATTTTTGCACACAAATATAAAATTCTTTTATCCAAAGGTATGGTTTAAATGTTTTCATTGTGTTAGATTTCGAAATACTCTTGATATGAGAAATATGATGATGAGAGAAAATGCATAATCAATTGCATATAACATATTAAAAATGGTTATTGAAAGGGGTTATTTGTAAAGATAAATTGATACAGAATTATTCATATCAATTACATTGCTTACAATGCATCGATATTTTACGATCAACGAATGTCCGGCTATAGTATAAGTCAGTTTTCAATTTTCAGTAAAATTCTGGGGGTCTGAAAATTCGACTTATATATCGGTATATAAGGTATTTGAGCTGGCTCCTTCAAACTATTAAAATTGAGTCCTAGTAATTTTTTTTGCACATGCTGAAAAATTGGCCTTTTTCTCCATATATTTAAGCCACTTTTGCGACAAAAGTTTGTGACGAAGACAATGAATACCATATTTGAAATCAGCCTACTAAACAATATAAAAATCAGTCACTGCATTACAAACCAAGTTTTCATAACTCGGTTTTTGCCTGCCCATGTTATTTTAGATAAGTGTTGAAAAGTGAAACTTACCAATACGTCAGCATATCTTCGGATAGGAGATGTAAAATGAGTATATTTATCTAATCCCAATCCATAATGATAGAAGTCTGCTTCACTAAAACTACCTGCACAGCAATAAGTAGCCTGATTCATGGTATGTGTCGCTAAAATTCGAAGTATCTAGATGATAGAAAAATTTGAATTAATTTTTTTTTCTAAAGTTTAAAGATATGTTTTACAAAAAAAATCACTAGTAACTTATACGAATTTTTAAAAACATAAGGAGATACAAACCTCTTTTTACAACTGCTTCTGAACAACGGCAACCTCCAAAGAATAGCCTAAAGTGTATGGAATCAAATGTTTTCCACAGGATTTACATTAGAGGAAAAATCTTCTCAAAAAGTTTTCAACAACGGCCACCTGTTGCTAGCATAAATTTTGTTTCAAAGTGTATTTTAGTCAACTTTTTTTCTTCCTGTTTTATCTCTAGCTTGCATACATATATACATTTGCGAGCAAAAACATATAATAGATAAACATATAATAATTTTCACTAAAAAGTGGAATTTTATAAAATAATTGTAACAGATGTTAGAATTATTTAACTCTAATCCTAATAACTGATTACTGTTACTGACAATTCTAAGACTGGTTATTTTCCAGGTTTTATGTATAAAATTGTAACTTTCCCTGCTTTTTAGAGTTAAAATAAAATTGCCTGACAATTCCATGTTCTCCCTGACCGGTGAAAGCCATGTTTAAAATAAAAAGGGATCATTATTGATCAGTATTTTATTAGATTGAATCTAATGTTTGTGATTTTTTCATGTTTTTGAACAATCAATTCGTCCATAGCTCCAAATGGCTTCCACCTTTTAGTCACATACGCACAATTCCAGAAGATACTGTTTCGTTCGGAGGTTTTACTGTATATGTATTCTAAATAATAAACAAATTAAAGGAACTCAATCCATTTCCGAACAAATTTTATTAATAAACATACACTATTTATAAACTGTAGTTAAAGAAAATGGGCACTCATTTATATTTTAAATTTTTATCACTTCTCAACATTTTAAGAGTTTTATTTACCCTGTAATTCTGTAAAGTTAAGTGTTTTAGGAAGATAACACTTTTAAGACAGAGATTAACATTCTACATAATAGAATAGTAAGAAAAATAATGACATATATATAAGAACAATAAAAATAACAACAAAAAATTTAATAAATTTTGATTTTATTATTGGATATGTAAGACTTACATTGCACTTTTAATTTTATAATTTAAAACTACTTAGGCAACTCTTACATGTGGGTTAATAAATTCAATTGAATTATGTACCCAGTAATACCTAGCATATTTTTTACATGGCTTATTTTTAAGTATTCATTAATGGCAACATTAGGTAAATACAGTAATTTGATTTAGTCTGATTTGCAATGAAGAAATTGCAAATCAATAAAATTCATTTATTCGTTAATTGTTTCAAATATATTCGTAAACATAATTGCAATAATACTTTTTTTTAAACCCTCTTATAATTTTGATAATTTTTTGGCATTTTGCATTGCGTTCCAACATTTTATACACTTTAGACTTCGTCTAATTAAACAAAGTTTTCTAGTAGTTTATTTCAAAATATTTAAAATTTATATTTCTAATATAATTGAAAAAATATAATTTGCCCTGTAATTTGATAATGAAATACATAAGTCATTAAATACGCTGTTTTTTTATAGACAGATTTGAGTTCAGTATTTTAAAACACATTTAACTGACTTGAAATTGTCATAAGGTATGCTCTGAAACAAAGATCTGTAATGTAAGGCACGAATTAGAAAATTTGAAAAAGTAGAGTCGAAATAGTACAAAAATTAAAACTATCAACCGAAAGCATAAAGCAGATTACAAAGAGCTAATGAAGTCAGAATGAAGATTTTGTTTTTGAAAAATTTAAAATATCTGGCAATCTTTGGAAGATAGCTGGATTCAGATAATAAGAATGTAGACATATAGTTCCTCAATTTGCTTTTTATACTGCAGCTAGATAAATATAATGACTGTTTTTTGAAGATTGTTAAGCAACTAATATACAAAGTTAAAATAAGATAATTTAAAAAAATAAGGCAATATGTCAACTTGATATTTATTATTTTTTAAAATAAACCAATAGATACACAAATGAAGTAGAAAAAAAAAAGACACATTTATTTTTGTTCATAAGAGTAGGTAAAGAATTCTTAATTGACCTACAGATTTAAAATATTAAACACAGCATAAAATTCAACAAAAGACAGGTTATTTTAAATGAGTAAAACTAATAGATAAGCAAATAGTTAGTAAACAGGGGAAATTCTGAGCCCAACTCAAAAATCCTGAAAATGTCTTCAATCATCAATACAATCATTAATGACGCATTTAAAAAAGTTAATGTCGTTATAAATTTAAATCATTGATATTTTAAAAGCATGAAATTCTAAATAAATATGCAGCATAATTTAAATGAATAATTCTGTATAAGTTCACTTTTAAGTCTAATCATTATTATTATTTTACCAGAAAAAATATTTACAAATGAAAGAGATTTCAAGAATAAATTGTAGTTCTAATATTTTTAAGTAAAATATATTTTTATACATAAATGTGATTGATGATTTCTTGAAACTTCTGCACCTTAGATTTCCGAAAACTTCCGGATCGCATTAAGCGAAAAATCTGAAAATCCGGATTTTTTCAGAGCACAATCATTTGTGAGTAAATGTCAGGAGAAGATATTGTTCATTTTTAAATTTCTACTAAAATTGATTGATTCTGATATTTACTTCATTATTTGTTTGCAAAAAAGATGTATTGCATCAAAAAATAAATATTAAAATAGAATTATTGAAAATTGTTCATTTTGAAGAAGTTTGAAATTTTAAAAATACCAATTTAGTCCTCTCATCTTTCCAGTGTTAAGTAAAAAAAGATATACAAAAAAGAACCATATAGATTAAAAAAGTAATTTAAAAAAATATAAATTGGAAAATATTATAAAAACTAGTCATTGTAAAATAACATGTAAAAGTAGGATTATATGTGTTAAGTGAAAAGTAATTATGAAAAAAGAAAAAAAAAAGAATAAATTTAATTCTTATTTTTAAATAGATTTCAGCTATTCACCTTAGAACAATTCAAAATTTCAATTAGAGTTGTTATCTAAAGGTGTTATAACTGTTGTACAGGTGTTTTAACTTTTTGATTTTGTAGAAAACATCATGAATGATACATAAATTCGTAAATGGCATTGCGGAAATAATTGTATGCAATTAAACTTGCCTGATTGACTGCAGGATCTTTGCTGTCAACAGCCTGTTCTAGCGATAGAGCAAGTTCCTTGTTAGAGTGGACATTTAAGATAAAACCTTTATTTGATGCCAATTTTTGTAACTCAGCTAAATCAGCTTCTCTAGGATTAGGATGGTGTCGAAGCTAAAGGAAAATTTGAGAAAAATAGAGTAAATCTAAATTAAAAATTAAATCAAATCAAAAAATATAATAAAATAGAATGATTTGAAAATGATTTTGCTTGAGAAACCTGAAATTTATTTTGACCAAAATTAAAATTTAAGAACAAATTGTTTAACATTCAGGAAAAACACTGCCCAGCAGCAAATTTATCTGTTGACAAACTTTGTTACTAATTTTTAAAACTTAGTGAGAATAAATATCTGACTGTTCATTTCTATTTTCTCTCATTTTTCTTTATATGATTTATCAAATTGTGCCTTGATTTTAATTCAGACAGGATTTAAAATTTGATTAACAGCAATGACTAATTTCCTTAAGGATGGCAAGTTTCTACTACAAAAGGAAAAGAATCACAGAAAAAATTGTCCCAGAAGAAATGATTTTAATCCAAACCCAAGTAAAAGAAATTGAAGAAACTCTTTTTCAAGAAGAAATAACAAATATAAAAGTAATTTTTTTCAACATTTTATAATGGTAATCTAGTTTAAATAATAATAGCATTGATTTCTAAGTTGTTTAATGCATCATTTATAAATAAACAAAGACTAAAAAGCAACAACTGAATTTTTTTAAAAAAAATTAATGAATTTTTTAAATTAAAATAACTGTACTTTCTTTTAATATCTTATGTAATAGTGTTGTAATACATAATTTTAAAATTGTAAAAAGAACTAATAAAATATCTGAAGCAAAAATTTCCTTTATACAGTTAAATTAATAAACCACCTATTAAACATACACACTACTACAAATTTTATGTTTAATTCTCAATTACAATTAGTATACTAATTTTTATAATCAAATACTGTTAAGCCTGAATACGCAAGCAGACTAAGTAATAAAGGTTCTGTATATTCTATACATAATTAAAATTCTGTATCAAACTAAATTAAATATGAATAGTTATTTTTAAAAAAAAAAAAACAAAAGTATTTGATAAAAACTTTCTAATACAATATTATTGCTTTAATTTAGACTAATTTTATAATCAAACGGAAGATAGGGTATACTTCGTGTTATGTAAGAATAAAGCTAATCCAAAACTGCAAAATAATCTGAAAACGTTCTTGACTTTGGTTTAAACTAAACATTTTTTTCCAATCCAGTTATACGATTGATCCTAAGCAAATTTTTGAACCAAATGCGGTTTTCACATTTTCAAGAATATCTTTCCACTCCAGTTTCTTTGGATTATTCATTTAAGTTAAGAGATGATTTAAATGAAGTAATTGTGTGGAAAGATCAATAGTTTTTTCCAAAAAGAGAAGGAAAAAAAACTATTTATAAAAAGGATGAACTTGCAGGGGATAGTATTGAAGTAAAATCTTTTAATCTTATGGAAATAATTAAGAAAGAAAAAAAAGGAGGGGTTAATAGCTGAATTTTAAGGTTGCTTATTGATTTGCACCCACTTAAATTTCCTTCAAATAAATTTCTTACTGTACATTCACTGATAATTTGATCTTAACTTTTCCTTTACCTTCTAACGAAAATTTTTCACTCATTTCTTTTTTAATAAAATCTGAGATAAAAAAATATCTGCAGAAGCCATGATATAATATAAAGTGCCTACTGGAGTGGTGCATGGTAACTGCAACCAGGATTTAACTAACTAAAAACTTAGTATTTTATTATAAATTAATAAAAAAAAATATTATATACCTAAAATATTTCTAGATATGGCCTTAATGGAATTCTGATTAAATGAAAAAAAAAGTAAAAACAAATAAAAAAGGTAGAGCTTTGAAATTAGGAAAAGCTGAATGAATACTAAATAATATTGTTAATTATTTCTAAAAATTGCTTACCACTGCTTGATGTGGAAAAACTTCACTAATTTTCTTTGCGACCCAATGATTTGCAAAAATCATGCATTCGGCAACAGTCTTGTGAACAGCAAGTTCCTGCAAAAAATTTAATCATTTTATTTATACAATTTGATATTGAATAGGCAGAATATAAGTTTTTGAACTAAAACACTTTAACAATATTAAAAAATATAAATAACAGTGCAAACATTTATGCAATGTTTGTTCAAATAAAAACCTTTATAGAAATACTAATAAATTGTCAAAAGCTCTTTTCAAAAGAAAAGATTTACAAACCTTGGCTGATTTGACATCTGCTACTGCAGAAGGAAGATTCCGATCAATTTCAAACTTCATGTTGATGCTGTTCAATTCTAACCCTCCTTTTTGAAGTCTTTCCCTCCTTATTGAATTAGCAATAGAATAAAGTTTTGACAGAGCATTCTTCAGGTCTTGAAATCTTTATCATTTAAAAAAAAAATTAACATTAATTGTTAACATACAAACATATTGATGTCACAAGAAATTTAATAATTAATTTTATTACTAAATTATGAAAATTTGTTCACTTTAAAGATTGATTTAAGAATTGGTTCTTCTGAGTTGATTTCAAAATCAGCCTTAATATTTAAAAGCTACAAGCATTTGCATTAAGAATTGAGTATTTGTAACATACAATGAAACAAAACAAACTCAGAAACTGTAAACTTAACAAGGAAGTGCATATTAAAAATATAATATGAGGTTAGTATATTTTTATAATAACTTAATATAATTTTAAAAAATGCTATTAGTTTTTATTTTATGTTAAAGTTTTTAATAAGTCACAATTTTTGAATGAATTTAAATAAATGAATTTTATAAATAAGTTAAAAATTTGGAGGAAAAACAAAAATTTTTTTTTTACAGATAAAAGAGCATTAAATTTTTTATTTCAAATTTCAATGCACACTTTTTTAAGAAATGTTTTATTATTAATGTTGTTGATAAATATAATTCAAAATAAAAAATTTAGAACAAAAGTAAAAGTACTTTTCAAGGGCATACAAATTTAAGAACCTTACACTAATTAAAGTCTAATTTCAAACAAAAATATTTTTAATTATAATGACTAAAAATTTTTTTCTTCTACAATTTACCTCATCAATATCTTTATAAATTGCAATGGTAATATTAAACTGGCCAAGTGGAAATCGGATTACATACGTGGGAAGATTTATTATTACTTTTTTTTACATCAACATCTTATAAATTAAAAATAAATACATACTTGTTATGATCAGTGAAAAGACAAGGTAGTGACAGATTTACAGAGCTAGTGACAACAATTTTCATAGCATATTACTTTGAATTTTCATTAATCTTTCCAGAAATTTCTATTTTAAAAATGGTATATATTGAAAATGAATATTTTGTTTCTTGATATTTTGATTTTGTTTTCATGCATACATATTTGACTTTTATCTAAGGATTAAAAAAATAGACAAAATAATAATAAAATAGTAAAAAAAGAAGAGAATAGAAATGAAAATTTATACTTCAATGATAATTTACTGTCACTAAGTCCTTGAAGCTCTGGGATATCTGCAATCATTTTCTCAGCAGTTGCTCCAAAAAGAATATCTTGAGCTGCCTTAGAGTTAAAATACATATTCAAACACATTTAAAAACACACCATCAAAGAAACATTATGTAAAAATAAATATAAATCAAGAATAACATGTGGAAATAAATACACCAAACAGAACAAAGAGCAATTACTACTGAAACGTAGAATAAAATTACAAATATGGAGGGAACAGAAAAAAAATCACACTTTTACGGCTAATAGTAACAATGAAATTTTTTTTGTAAGAATTCAAATTTATTGGACAGATAAATTGTTTTTGTATTAATTTATTAAATTATAAAAGAGACATTTTTTGGTAACATATAAATTACAACCCCCCCCTTTAATTCTGAAATGTTTTTTTAATATACGTTGAGTTAGTTTTTTTCTTTTCTCAATTTTAATAATATGTTGCCCTAACTGTTAGTTTCATTGATGTTTAGTAGATTAAATGCAAAAAGTTAAAAGAGAACAAATATGTTTATTTTTCTCTCTGAATCACACACACACACAAAAAAAAAAAAATTTATGTGAGGAGAAAAAAGAAATCCTAAGAATCTCCTTATACTTAGACATATGCATGGTATAAAGGAGAAAAATCTGCACAATTTTGAATATATTCTTGATTTGATACTTACTTCATAACAAAGTTTGTAGCTTGACCTAATAATTGTTCTACCATACCAAGCATTTTGTACTTGATAGTTTTTGTCCAATTCCCATAGCACACTTACAGCATATCTAAATTAAATTAACAGCTGGTGAAAATTTATTTTAAGAATGAGAATTATAAGTATTATAGCAAGTATATCAAATGTTCCTGAATATGCAACAATTTCATAAAGTTTTTCAATTAGATTTTTTTTTATTTAAACAGAAATTTAAGTATTCAAAGAAAAATGTGTACAATAAAGCAATATAATCATTTTAATCTAATTTATTTAATGATATTAAAAATTGTAGTTTAAAAAAAAGGGACATATAAATTTTACCTTTTTAAACTACTATCTTTATCAACCCTATACTCTGATCAATGAGAATTGATAGTAGAAATAAATACGAAGGTTTTCTGTTTAACGTCAACTTTACCAACTTCACATAGGAGAGAAGTTCTGATGAGTTGGAGATTCTTTTTGTGTTAACAACGAGTCAGTTTACCATTGTTAGCCACAATCAGCATATTTTATGTCAAGTGGTTTCGCCAAGTCGGGATATTATCATAACGCTTTAACATCTCTAAAGAATGCAAATGATAAATTTAGAGAAATGATAAAATTGTGCATAGAAAAGTAACCTTATTATATAAATTTGACTTATTTAATCATACGAACATATTAAACATGGTTACAGAAAATAATTTCACGTTTTTAAATTACAATTATTTCTAATCCTAGATAACTAGACGTTCGTCAAATATACTTTCGACTTTTGCCACATTGGACTGTTACCATAACAATTTTACATTTTCAAAAGTTATAAACGCTAAATTTTATCACTTTAATTGAAATTCATTAGTCAAATAATACTAATTTGCAGGAGTGACAAAAATCATGATCTTTTTTAATAATAATAATAGATTTATTTGATTTAAATCATGTTTTTTTTAGTTCACTATCACTTTTCATTTTATTTTATTTTTATATTTAACAACCAAAGCATTTCATAAAATTATTTATTAACAACTAATAGTACTTATCAACAATATAACTCAGATAGTTTATAAATCTTACTAAAATGGATAAAACTATTTTTTAATTACTACAAAAATAATCACTGAATAAAAAAATAGAGTTAATTTTGTTCAAGTTCAATGCACTCATGAATTTTAAAGACTGGTAGACAATTTGTCAATTAAATCCAATTAAGAGTTAAGCAGAGGGTTCTATAGTTATATATACAGTGGAGCATCGTTTATACGACGATCACTTATACGACGTTTACATTTATACGACGTTTTAGTGTGGTCCCAAATCATTCCTATTCATTTTAATGTAAAAATATATCGTTTATACTACACACAGAATCGGTTATACGTCGGTGTTTAGATTTTGTTCACGTTTATTTAATTTTTTATTTCTTCTTGTGTATTTTAAAAAAAGGGCGCAATTTGCCAACATAAATGATACAGAAAAGGGTGCCAACGAGAATGCTNTTCGTCAAATATACTTTCGACTTTTGCCACATTGGACTGTTACCATAACAATTTTACATTTTCAAAAGTTATAAACGCTAAATTTTATCACTTTAATTGAAATTCATTAGTCAAATAATACTAATTTGCAGGAGTGACAAAAATCATGATCTTTTTTAATAATAATAATAGATTTATTTGATTTAAATCATGTTTTTTTTAAGTTCACTATCACTTTTCATTTTATTTTTATATTTAACAACCAAAGCATTTCATAATACGATTTATTAACAACTAATAGTACTCATCAACAATATAACTCAAATAGTTAATAATTCTTACTAAAATAGATAAAACTATTTTTTAATTACTACAAATTAATCACTGAATAAAAAAATAGAGTTAATTTCGTTCAAGCTCAATGCACTCATGAATTTTAAAGACAGGTAGACAATTTGTCAATTAGATATACAATCCAATTAAGAGTTAAGCAGAGGGTTCTATAGTTATATATATATATATTTAAATTAAAATAGATCAGATAATTTTTTTTTCGTAAGCCACTCTGGGTAGAACACCTCTTTCTTCATTATTCATACACTTTAATTACTTATTTAATAAGTTTTAAAAGCATTTGTATTTAAAAATTTATTAACTAGGAATGATTGAAATATGTTTATTAAACAGTTAATTATTTTGTACACAGCTAATGGAAAATTATTATTTTAAAGTTTAGCACCACTCTGATCAACTTTTAGTCCTTTTTTTATTATTTCTATAGACTTTTTTGAAATATAATATCTTATATGCATCCCCTTTCATTAATTCTTTGTGATAAATTTTCTTTATCAATGAAATAATACTTAAAAAAAGGCATACTCTAAAGAATATATGCATTAATTATATTGCATAAAAAATATTTTTAATTTTAAAAAATCACAGTTGATTTAAATCAATGATTTCTTCTTTTAAATAAAGTTGTTTCAATCAGGATTTTAAATGTGGTTTCAATTAGGATTTTAAACATGATTTAAATCTAGCGAATTTTTTTTTGTCGATATAAATAACATAAATATTTCAATTCATAGTCTATAAGTGGACTGATTAGTTGCAAAGTAACTCTGATTTAATTTTAGGTTTGAATTCACAACATTTTCAAAACAAATGTTAATCCAGAAAAAGAAAGAAAACTATTCAAAGGGATAATAAGTTGCTATAAAAATCTAGTCTTATAAAATTTTTTTATTTTTATAACATGTTTACAGAAGAATTTGAAATTGATTGATATTCAAGTTTTAGATAAACTAAAAAAAGAACTTTACCTATCAACACTGCCTAACAAGGAACACAAATTTCCACTCAGAACATGAGGCAACATATCGTAACGGCGGTCCGGTAAATAAACTGAAGTTGATCTGCTTCTTGCTTCCAGATCAACTAGAGAAAGAGGTTTCACAAAGTGAGTGACGTCAGCAATGTGTACACCTAGTTCAAGGAAACCATTTGGAAGCTCTCTAATGAATGAAAAAGAATTGTGAAATAGGTTATTCAAGTTGCTTACCAATAAAAGTGACTGGCTTACCAGTTCGATTGTGACCTTATGACCTACAACTTATATTACACTGAATATTAAACTTCAGTGATTAAGCATTTGCGAAGTCCTTTCACGTATTGTTGAACTCCCCCCCCAAAAAAAAGTTTTTCAACTCATATTATATATCCCCCGTTACACAATAAGAAATGTGTGTATTGCGGAAAAATTTCTATACAAACTTGAACAACCTTGAAAAATTCATAGCAGTGGCGTGCAGAGAAAGAGAGAGAGAGAAGGGGGCAATGGGCCTAGACGCCCAGTCAAAGGGGTCGCCCAATTGATAAATAAGTAATTTCAAATTTTAATTATAGTGCTAGCATTAATTATAGTACTTTACTTACTTTAATTACTACTTTTATACATTAATTATTACTTTTAAACTTTAATTATAGTATGAGATTAAATTATTACCACGTAGCTATTTGGCTAAATAAAAATATGTTATAAAGATTTAAATATGAATTTCAAACAAATTTACTAATGAAGTTTTAGGTCTCTAAGAGTTTAAATACTTCGTTGGAAATAAATTTTTACAAAATAATAATTTCCACATGCTTTTACATAAAAATTAATTTAAATTACATACTTTTTTTTTCTTCATTCCAACACCTTTTTTGAAAATTTAATAAGGTTTTTTTGCTTCATTCTGAAAATAAATTATGACCTTCCTCTTTCCAAGGGTATTTAAATGATAAGGCTGTCTTGGGGATCCCTACACCTTTGCACATGTGATAAGGCTCAGTAGTATAGGGTAAAGTTGCAAAGTTAACGTTCGCTACTGGCCACAGGTCAACTAAATATAAGAATTGGCAATTATAAAATAGTATGCCAGTAGCCATCTGATCACAATTTTCGTTGATAATACACCTCAAAGTATTATTATTATTTTTTTTAATACATATGAATTATGGGATTTTAAAGTGTTATAAAAATTACTTTATTTCCAACTTGAATCTCAAAATTTTTCCTAATTTCAGAAATAAAACTTTGTAATGTTTACTACATTTTAAGAAATGTTTCAAAAGCAATGCCTTATATTATAAATATCAACTGTTTCTTAACTCTTTAAAATTTTAAATTTTTGAAAAAGGGGCCATATGTTTTAAAAAGTGGTAACAGTTAGAAATGCTACAACCGGCTGGTAGCAAACAAAAGTCTTAGTATTTAAAATTATTAACTTTGGAGTGTTTATTTTTGTATGCATTAAATTATGTTTTTTTCATTTTTTTATGGACTATGTGAATATTTTTTTTATTTACATTAATTACAAACAGGATTGCAGAAATTTTAATTATTATTATTTTTAAAAAAACTCCAAAATAATTTAACACACTGAGAAAATTTAAAGGAAGAACGAAATATTTAAGAGAATGATATGATTTTATAGCACAGAAATAACACTGAGGACTAGAAAATATTTTAGAGAGGTTTGCTTGTTTTATTTTTAAGTAGTTCCTTACTATAAAGTACAAGGTAAAGATAATGGTAAAGTACAAGGTATAAAGTACAAGGTAAAGATATTCACACCATTTACAATGGATTATACACCATTTACAAACAATGTTAAACTAACTTTTATACCATAATATGATTAAAAAAAAATCATGATTTTAATAATAAGTTTTTTATAGAGTAGTTGGCTGAAAAAAAAATGTAACCTTATTCACATTCTTTATATTTTGCGTATGCATTTCTTCCATATTATTTTCCAATTGAATTCATAATAAGATTAGGATTATTTAAAAATATATTTAATTTAAATACAATGATTAAAAACCAATGATTAACATAAATCTGACATCACTGCAATCAAAATATATATAGTTTAATTTTTTAACAACATAGTTTACAATTTCTGCAAAATAATTCTAATATTTATTCATATTTGATAAGCAAAAGAAATATCAAGTAATATGTAATTTTGAACTATAACACATAAAAGAAAATATAAAGAGTATGAAAAATTTCATGAAAATTTGTTGCATCATAAAATATAACAAACATAATAGCTTTTAAGTTGTTTGGTTTAATATAATCACAATAAAATTTCTACCATATAATGAATATATTTAATCATTTCATGTTAATGAATATAAAGCTAAAAAACTTTTTGAATGAAAGTAATAAATTTTATCTTAGCAATAAATTTTATCTTAGCAATAAATTTTATCTTATAGTATTTCATTTTAATACATAGGATAAATATAGTCCATGGATAGTTTTCAGTCAATATCAAACATAAATTTTTACATCATAAACACTCTTGTAAAAGATTTATCTTTAAATTTCATTTGGAATAAAATTTCAACCCCTAGGGCAATATAAATCTATTATAATTTATCTTAAATATCATTAAGTCGCATGAACAATGTATGTTCATGCGACAAATCTAATAAACTACATTGATATGACTTATGAAACAACCACTGCTAATAATAACAGCTTCATATTTGCTCATAAAAAAATTACTTCTTAACTTAGAATTACAAGTATATTAAAATGGATGAATTATATTAATTTTTAAATCAAAGCAATATTAAAAGATAGACCATTCATTGTTTGTGCTGAATAACATAATTGCTCAGGTTATTTGATTTCTGAATTATTGTCAGACATAATAGCAGTTACAAAATTTCTATGGAAAAAATTAAAGCAAAATTTAAATTTAGTTTAAACAAAACATACCTAACTGATAAGGTATCATCAACATCTTCACAGCCTTTGGGATCAATACTAAATATTAAATGAGAAAATCGCAAATCTTTTCGTTTAGCTATTTCAGTATCTTCTACCAACCAGGGTTGTTCATCAGTACATATAGGCAATTCAGCTACCTGAAAGAGAACAAGATACTTCGTAAAGGTTACACTCAATTTCAATTAAAGTACAGTGCAATAAATTGACTAGATAAATTGAGGAAAGAAAATTTTTTTTTCTATGAAAAATTATCCCGGTTGTGAAAGAACTATAAAACTAATTTACACAAATATAATTCTACATGTAAATCATGATACAGTGGCTGACACTAATATAATCATCCACTTTTTGAAACTGAATTCATAATGAGCAATAGAATATAAAAGCAAAATAGAATCTGTATATATAGGCAATTCAAGCACCTGAAAGAGAAAAGGATACTTCATAATGGCTACACAGAATTTTAATTAAAGTAAGGCGCCATAAACTGACTGGAAAAATAGAGTCAGGAATTTTTTTTTCTCCTTAAAAAAACTTGCACTACAGGTTGCACTACAAAAGTTATTTATATACATATATAAGCCGTGATGGCTCAGGGGATAGAGTGTTTGTCTTCCAATAAGGTGAACTGGATTCGAATTCCAGCGATGGCTGGTTGATATGAATTCCGCATTTAGCTCGCACTGACCACAGTACTGACGTAAAATATCCTTAATGGTAGACGGATCATGGGTTCGAGTCCCCTTGCCATTAGGCTAACCATGGGAAGTTTTTGTGGTTCGCCTCTCCATGCAACACAAATGCAGGTTAGTTCCATCAAACGAATCTTCCATCCTCCAGGAGGGCAAAATTTACCAATACTTGATCAGGGAATTCCCTTGTTTTCCAGACTGGGTTCAAAATTACAAGGCTTCAGAGTTAGTAGTCGTAAGCCCCCCCCCCCAAAAAAAAATTGGGTCGGCTGTTCAACAACGGCTATAATATATATAACTCCATAGATAAATCATGGTACAATGGCTTTTTGAAATTGAATTCACAATAATTAATACAACATGAATGCACATTAGAATTATCTCTGGATAAAATAATTATTACATTTTCTAAAATCAGACTTTCAGGATTATGTGTTTCTAAATGAAAATATTAGATACTTTTTTGTATGGGTTACACGTGCTTGAGTTATTCCATTTCCAATTTATAAATTATCATAGACAAAAAATTTAAGCTTTTAAGGAATAAAATTAGAGGTATGGATCACAGTTAGGTAGAGGTTCAGAGTTAAGAAAGCATGTAACAGTGAATATGTTTATTCAGAGAGGTGAAAAGAAATTTGATTATATGGGGACTACATATAGATGAAGTAACAAATAAATTAAACGTCCTTCCAATTTAATAAAATAAATAGTAAAATTGAAAGATATATTATCTATCTATCATCTAACAATGAAAATAAATAAATAAAAAGAATAAATATAAAAGGATAAAATATATAAAGAAGATATTAAAAAATTAATGAAAAAACTTATACGTAAAAATAAATAAGTCAGAATTTTAAATGATTGCTGAACTTATATTCACCATTATTGTTAGGATTGCAAATTAATTGCCATTAGAATATGAGTCAAATTAAAATAAAAAAAGAGAATTTATGTCCTTATTGTAAAGAAAACAAACAGCAAAACTTGATTGCTCTTTACTTTCTTTCCTTGATACATAATTAATTACCAGAACAACATATTATATACAACATATTATAACACATTTTTTTTGTTAAGTTATTTCTAATGATTTAAACATTGATAAATTTTTCTTTAAAAAAAATAAACATTCACCAATATTTATTTACATTCAATGTTTGAAATAAATTGCAAAAAAAATTTTTTTTTCTCTTCTTTTACATGGTTTTATGTAATTAAACAAAAAATGCTAATTACAAAAACTGCACAACATTGAATCACAATTATTATCTCCCATTTTAATTTATTTCAGACGTATTTCACAGAAATACATACATGTGACATACTTCACAAATAAACTGAAAAATATTTGTTAGTCTTTGATGACATGCATATATTTATCAAGTATTTTATTATAAATAGGAGATAGATTTAATCTAGGCCTTATAGTAAGCAACAAGAAGGAAGCCTGTAAAAAATCTAATTAATGTTTCCAAAACAATGCACGATATTACCAGGTTCTGTGGAAATTCCTTAACCAAAAGCTCATGTTCAATTAATAAGGATTGAACTTCTGTTTCTATGTCTCCAATTTCACCCAAGACTTGAACAAGATGCCCATTAGGATATTGACTCTCTTTCTCCCAGCTATCAATTCGAACAAGTATTCTAAAGAGACGCAAAGAAAAAAAACTATGAAAGCAAAAATGACAATTAAATACACATGGTATATTCATTTATACTCAATAAGAGTAAGTGCGATAGTTCAGTAATTTCCTAACTTTTTTAATTGGTTACACACTTTTAGAATTTTTGCCGTTCAAAGACAGACTAATATCAGTTAATAAGAAGACATTGTCACCTAACAACTGAAGATATAAAACTTTATAATTGGAATGCTTCACAGTGCTAAATTGAGGAACTTATGGTTCCCCAGGACACAGGTGCATAATTTGAGAATAATTCAATAGAAATTATAATTGTAAATTAACAATGTATAAGAATTAGAAGCAAAAATAATTTTGCTTAGAAAATAAAAACATACTAAGTTCTTCTTTTAGTTATTAATAATATTTCAAGTATTTTGATTGTAGTGGACATTTAAAATAATGGTAATTTTGAATGCAAAGAAAATAAGGGTCAAAATGATGGTAAAGAGAAAAAAGAAAGTTTTTAAGCACAACAGTTTTGTTTCTTAATTTGCAAAATTTCCTAGAATTCTCATTTGAGGTTAATCAATGTACACTTGAAAAATTATTTCACCGTAACAAATAAATATAGAGGAAATTTTACAGGTCCTGGACTAACGGGCCACCATTAATTTCACTTCCTGTTAAATTGTCATTTCTTAAACACTGCATTATCTCTCCTAGAATAGGAAAAATTCCTCATCACTTTTAAGAGTGATTGTTGGGCTGTATATTTAAGCTTTTAAAATGTATCGTACTACTGCCATTATCTACTAAAGATCAAATAGCTTTGTTTTACGCTAGTAACAATCGTAGATACTCAATTATTACTACTGCACAACTATCTGGATTCACAGCGAGCATATAACATTCCCCCCCTCTCTGCGCATGGATATTTGTTATAGTTTTAATTATTAATTGCAATTATGCTTAAGGTTTACAATGGGTCAGCAGGAAAGGTTTGTATTTCTCTAGAAATTTCCATATTAGGAGTTAAAACAGAACTCTAATTAAAATTGGAAAACGTAAGTCCTGTCTTTTAGCTCTGTGTGCATTAAGAATTACTTAATACACACACCTACTTTTTATTAAAAAAGAGAAAAGTTTATTTATGATTTCAGAAATTCTAAAAAATTAGTGTAAGGTAACAAACAGAATTATAAAGTTTTTTAAGTGGTGTATCAATTATCACTCTAGTAAGTTGTATTGAACTTTTTTTCAAAATTAATTAAAAAATGTTAATATATTGATTTTCTTAAATACAACTATATAAGGGTCATTCTCACAAAAAGGTGATTTTTTAAGTCCCTTAGTAATAAGTAATAGGAAATACAGCAGATTTCTTTATATTTTTCTTCATCATTTTTTTGTAAAGTTCTAGCTAACAAATCATATGCATTTCTGCTAAATGTATTTAATATTTCAATCTTATTTTTTAATAAACAAAACTTCAAAATCCCCTCTGTGGACATCCCTATGTCTGTGACACAAAAAATTTTTTAATGGCTGTTAAACAATTTAAATGTTATTTTAATGATTTTTGTAGTTTTACCTAGTTAAATGTTTATAGTAACTTTTTATTTAATATTTTAAAAAAAAAATTATTTTTATAAAATAAATGACTAGTAAACTTCGTCCATCAAAAATGAAATCTCCTTCCGTGGACAATTAATATAGTTCGGTAAATATGCAATAAAGGGCAGCATATGCGAAATCCCTATAAGATAGCTTCTGGGAAAGGTAACCATTCCATTTTCTAATGTTAACTATCAATTGTTTTTGTTCTCTTTGGTGTCAGTTTTGGATTGTTGTGTTCAACTGGGGTTTGGTAAAGTTCTCACCATATACTCCGTGGACATCATAAAGAAGGTAAGAGAAAATCATTTTATTTTTGATAGATGAATTTTAGATTGCAAAAATAGTATATTTAATAAAAAGAACTGTCCCATTTTTGTAACTTTAAAATTAAAAATCAGTAAAAATCAAGAACTAGTTTTTGTCTCCTCAGTGGACATAACAAGTCCACGGAGGAGAAGACACAGTCAATGGAAGAGACAATGTGTTAGATAACCATAATACAATTTTAATAATTAAAAAACTATTTTCTTTTAATTGATATTTTTTAAAATGCCACAAATGTGTTAATTTGTTTGTATTTTTAAAGAAAATCAATTAAGTTGAACTTTTTCTTATCCGAGAAGTAAATATTGGCAATTTTTCTAAATAATTTCTGTGATGTTTAACATTTTTTTTTCTCTTCAAATTTTAGGAAAAAAATGGCAAAACCAAAATGTAAAAAAAGAAAGCAATCAAATGTTCAAATGTAAAAGAGAAGGGAGCAGAAAAAACTTAGTATGAGACAAGCTGGACAGAAATTAAAAGAAAACCCTNAAAAAAAAAAAAAAAAAAAAAAAAAAAAAAAAAAAAAAAAAAAAAAAAAGAGCAAGAAACTTTAAAATCTGTATCAGAAAAAGATTTAACAGAAAAATCGTGATTAAATGTTCTTAAATTTTTAGAAATTAATAGAGCAAGCCGTTTGTGCCCAGGGAAAAAAGAAACAATAACAAAAGAGAAAAAACAAAAATGTTATTTGGATGACAGTATGTTTAATTTGCATAAAATGTTCATAAAAGAGTAATCTCAACACCCAACTTTCATGTGGAGTCTGAATTTTTATTTCAATAGTCTTTACATTTTAATTTATTAATATTCAGTAAGAGTTACTTAAAAAATTGTACACCTAGATTAAAAATGGATGTTTCCTTTCATAGCAGCATGATTAATCGGAAGTAGCTCCATCTCTAATAATTAAATATTTTATTATTTACTTATTAATGTTAAACTCATATCAGTTGTACCCAATAATTAATGAACTAGTCTTCATTGACATTTTATATTTTATAATATAAAATGTCTCCTCCGTTGACTATTACATCTCCTCCATGGACAAGGCAGAATGTAAAATATTTTAAATCTTGTAAAAAATAAAATAGAAAACTTGACCATTATTATNGAAACAACACCTATCCGGAGTTTGCATGTAGATGTTTTTTCGTGACGCTTCGGAAATAAGGGGTTAATTACTTTAATTTAAGAAAATGTTTTAGTCTATTTATACCTTTTCAGTGAGAATGACCCATAAGTACCTTAAAACATTAACAAATATCAATAGGTTAAGACACATTTTATGCTTCTTAGTTTAAACCACTTAAAAAAGAAATATAACTTACCTTTGGTTTCGAATGCCTTCAGCTTGTTTAGTAACGATTCTAATTTTCGGAATACGATAATCATACGGTATTACTAGGATCCTCTCTTTATTTTTAGAAGCTGAACTAGAGTCCTGAAAATAGAAAAATATTTATTTTTTAATAGAATTTTCATTCTAACAATGAAATGTCCTAATTTCACAATTTGGTGTTTTTAAATCAAATAATAAATATAAAAAAATATAAAACTCATTTTATTTTTATAATTTCTAAAAAAGTCTCTTTAAATCTTAAAAAGAAAAGGAACAAACTATTGAAATTGTTTAACTATATAACTATTCAAAAAAATTTTTTTGGGTTCACAATATATTTAATTTATTACTTAAATGATTTTTACTTAAATAGTTTTGTTTTAAAATTACTACATTAGTTAAAATGAAATACTAGAATTAAATGAATTATTGTATGGTGAGTGTATATACCTATTATCAGTGAATGCTGAATGACAACAACTGTTTTATAAGTGAAAAATAATGATCTTTAACATACATATCAGCTACATACCAAAGTAGTTTTGACATTTATTGAATAACATTGGTATTTGTCAGATTGTAGTCTTCACAATAATGTAAATGAATAATTCTATGTTAATATATTTATTTTAGTTAAAATAAAAAATGTTTGTTCTAGTCTTGCACAAATGCATAGATCAAGAGCATTATTTTAAAATATAATTATAATATTCAGTGCTATTAAGGACTTAAATTATTAATAAATTGACGTTTATCTAAATACACTGGTTTTAAAATTAATACATTATTTAAAATGAAATACTAGAATGACAAAAAACCAGATCTCTGGAACAATTATGGTTGCTGTGAACATTTTCCAGTGAATGACAGCACTAACATATTCACTTTGGTGTAAGTCTGTAATATTTGTTACATATCATAATTGCTCACTTTTACAAACAAATGAGACATTCAGCACGTACTGATTCCGAATGCTGAACTGAAGATATAACAGAAAACTATATATTTTTGTCACGTAAAATATTTGTTTTTACTCTATAGTAATCAATTTTCTACAAAGAAAACTGTAATATTGAAAAAACTTACACAATTATTTTATGATAAAAATTACGACTTATTACAAAAAATAAACTATATTATAAAATTTAAAAGTAATTTTAACTAATGATTTTTTTTAATAATGAAAGCAATAACTTGATAAATAGAATAATCCTTACATCCTCTTCTGGAAGAGTTGCGACATAATTTCTCCATCGTCTCTCTAGAATTCCCACTATTTTACCTGTAGTTAGAGTTGTTAATACTGTTGAATCATTGCTTTCCAACGAAGCATCTGCAAAAAAATTAAACGCAACAATAAACAAGTAAATAATGTTAAGGGTAAAAACTCTATAAAAATATTTTGACTTGTAATCTAATGCTGTTAATAATCATCTAAAGATGCTCTTTAGTTATTGGGACGATGCCATAAGAAGTACAAAAATCATATTACTATTAATAAGTTTTTATTGCCAAGAACGTCATAATAGTTCATAAATCTTTTAACAGTTCTGTTTGAAAAAAATTGACTGGCTTATGCTAAAACTGGTTTTATTTGAAATAGAATATTGTATAACTGAGAAACATTGTCAGAAATTTGTACATTAACATATGCATTAAAGGATTAAGATCTATAAATAAAAAAAGGTCATTTAAAATTTAATTTCTGAATAGCTAAGTTTTAAGTATTGAGAGATTTTACCAAAAATAAATTAGCACAGTTAAAGATCTCCCAGCCTCTACTTTGCAAAATTTTGAAAAATCGTGAGGATCTTATTAGAAGTGAAAAACCAAATGAAAACTCAGAGTGAGTGCAAATTAAATAGATCAGGTACAGATAAATAAGTTTGAAAAAGCTCGAAGACTGTGGTTTTAAAATATTGGAGAATGTAATACTCCAATCAATGGACCGCTTAGGCAACAAAAAACAGAAAATATAGCAACTCAAATGGGTAAAAAAGATTTTGTTGCAACAAATAGTTGGTTCTAGGGCTAAAGGAAATGAGAAAACAATATTTTAAAGATAATTCTAGGCGAACAAAAGTATGCCAACTGAAGCCAGCTAGAGAAAATTGGCTACAAGATCAGAGGCCAACACTGTCCCATATTAACCAGAAAATGTTTAGTTTACAATGCCGAGGAGGCTGGTTTGGTTTTCAGAGCACTGCTGAAACATACATACTTATTCAAGAATGAAAGCTCAAAAGGAGATAAAATCTCAAAGAAACAAGAGTTACTTTATCTTGTTGCATCAGTATGTCATGAAAGATCTTTATTGATCAAGAAAATTTAGAATTTACGTTGTTTTAAAGGAGTTAAAAAACTTTCTGTATGTAAACTATACCAACAAAATTGTTTGGATGACACAAATTGAATTTCTTAAATTATGTATAATTTTTATATGTTAAACCAAAATTACAATACATAAATATAAGGTGAGTTTTTCTCTTCAATTTATTTTTGAACTCGGTATGTGTGACTTAAATTGAAAAATTTACGTAATTTTATGACTTGTCTATTTATTGGTTAATATGACCAAAATTGTTGTGTCCTAAAGTAATCACAATAAGCGAAGACTACTGTATTAGCACATTTGCTTGAATGCTTTTAAAATTTCTTGTAACTTTCAATATTATCTTTTCTTTGAATGAGTGACAATCACTAGTATTGAATGATCCTATAACTTTTTTTACTATAAAAGTTTTCAGTTGACCGTCCTGTGAAAGCATTAAAAGTGCCAACAGAAAAGAAAAATAATAAAAAGAAGTAAAATTGGAATTAAAATTGCGAATAAACTATACATTTAATTCAAATCTATTCATTGAGCCTACATTAATTTTTATCAAAAATCGAACATATACAAATTTAATTACCAATTTAATAAAATATAAACTAATTTAAATTAGTTTTGTAATGATAAGAAGGTTTAGAAATGTGAATTATAAATTAAAAAGTAGTAATGAGTAAAGTTACACAAAAGCAGTTAATAAAGCAAAGCTCAAATTCAGTGACACAACAATCCACAGAGGGCCAAAGTCTACTGTGCCAACCCCATGTTTCTTGAACTTGGGCTCTGGTTGGGGGGACAGCCGACCGTATAATACCCAGTGTTTAGTCCCCAAGCATGCTAGTGGCTAAGTGGTAGCACTTCATGCTTCTATGCCACAGGGCCTAGGGGCAGGCAAGGTTTACTCTGCCTTTCACCCTTCAGTGGGTTGATAAAATGAGTACCAAACATATAAAGTAAAAAACTCGATAAAAAGCAGCAAATCTTTGAATACAAATAATTTAAAAATTACCTTTAGATTCAGAATTATCTTTTAATTTAAAGCTTCTAGACTTCCATTGACTCTCAGGAAGGATTTCAACAACAACTTCATCACCATGTATTGCCCTGTTTCGATCTATCATTCCATGTATAAATATGTCTCCCGAATCCTTCTTGAATGCTCTGAATTAAAATTTTAAAGTAGCAAACATTTAGATTAGAATTTCAAATACAGTAAAAGATCTTAATGCAATGCTTTGCATTTCATAGAATTTCGCTTTAAATAGATCAATATTTAAATTCTTTAAAATAGTTTTTAAATACAAATAATTAAAAATATATGCACTTAAGTATAAAATATATACAAAAAAAAAAGTAAATTTTTTAAAGCATTAGAACTTGTAATAATTTTTTTTTATCAAACTTTAACTTTGAAATTGTAACATTCAATTTTAACAAATAATGTAAAAAGTTATTAGCTCTTGCTTTTACAGAAATTTCTTAACTACAATTTTCATTGTTTACAGCCGTGAAGTTAATGAGGTTTAAGTAGAATTGCGGTTTATAGAACTGCGATATATAGGTTTTCTACTGTAATAATTAGTTAAGTAATATGAAGTAAAAAAAAATGGTTTTATCTTTGGAAGAAAGTACAATTGGTATTATGTAATTTATTTGATTCTTCAACAACTTAAAAGGTTTTATTGACTAAATCAGTTAAATCAACAATTTTAATCACTTGCTTTTTTCAAAAAAAAAAAAAAAAAAAAAAAAATTAAATTAAAAAAAAAGTTAAATTTTCATTTTGAGCAGAAGGAACAAAAACAGATTCTTTTTTAAAAACTATTACATGATTTGAAAAATTTTTAAACAAATTTATGTTACATTTATAAACTACAGATTTTTATTTTTAAATGCAAAGATGTATGATAAAAATATACAGATAATAGATGTCACCATTCTAATATCCTGTAGTTGTATTGTATTCACTGCCAGAATGCATTTTTGTAAATGAATGATTGCTATATATTTTTTTATTTTGTGCTTGTTCACATATTCCAGATTTTTAGCATTTTACTTTTAAATTTATACTTAATTTAATCCTTTCATCAACAAGTACATTCATTCAAACTTATTATATTTGTCTAACTGTATTATAAAGTTTCAAAAGTTCAAAATTTATCATAAAGTTGGTCTTTAAAATTACTTGTCATTAATTTCTCATCTGAGAAAAAAAACAAACAAAAAAACATTTACAACTTTTTTGATTTGATTTTTGACCAACAGTAAAAAAATAAAGGATTTCTTTTTTAATGTGTGATGACTGTTTTACAGATAGCACAGATTTTTATTTGAGAAGTAATAGAGGCTTTAAAGCCTTTCTTGGCCAATTTTTTTTCAAATGATAATTTTTTCATTAATATTAAATAATAATAATAATAAAAAACAAAAGAGATAAGATAGATATGTATGAAAAGAAACCTTCAAGTTGGTTGCAGAGATCTGAATTTTATGTATATTTGAATATGATAATAATATAATATGAATTATAAATGATTTGAATAATAAGATAAGAATTTTCCTTAACTTAATTTGCTTTTTCAACGATTGGAACTTGTCTAAAGAAACATTTTTCATTGATACATGTTTTCTTTCATAATGACATAATGTTACTCATGCTTTTAATTTAGTAAGATATTTTTAAGTATTTAATATAATTTTTTGTGGGCACATTATATGATCTTTAAAGGAATTAATTGCAGCAGAAAAATAATAATAAATAAATAAAACAAATTTGCTATTTTTACAACCAATTAGTCAATTATCCAAATGTATGAATGAAAACCATCAAATACTAGATTTTGCATTAGCTATAAATAATGCTTCCTGAAATAATCTATTAAAAATGCAAATAATATAAATACCTAATAATGCTTGATACTCATTCATACACTTTGCGAAAAAAAAAAACTGTTAAAGAGCAATAAAGGAAGAAAAAAAAATTGAAAACTAAAACAAACTTTTTGAAGTGATGAATAAACTACTTGAACAAATAAAAAACTGATTAATAAATAAATTTAAAAAAAAAACTGTTAAAGGAATTTTTTTTAACAACATAATCAGCTAAAACATTTTGGAAAGAACATTTGAACTCCCCCCCCCCCCTATAATCTGTATATTTAAGTTAAGGCAGCTATAAGTGTATGAAATTCATGTTTAAAAATAAAATAGTCAATAAAATAATAACAATTCAGTTAGATGGTAAGAAATGCATTATAAATTTAAATAAGATGCAGTATTAAAAATTAAAGTGGTTAATAAAATGAACTCATACTTAGATGATGCTACAAAAGCTTCTTCAGATGCATTATGCTTGTTAACTCTCAAATAGCCTTTAAAATAGCGACCAGCTTTGATACCAGCTTCAAGAACACTTGATGGCAAATAATTGTCATAAGATCGTGATAAATCTAAAATATACATATAATTTTAACTACCGTCAAGAAATATATACAAAGGGCTAGGGGTAATATAGTGATAAGCCAAATTTTATCCAAAGATGACATCTTTAAACTAAACGTATAGCTTAGTTTAAAAATTATAATTTTAAATAAGAAAGCAAAAGTTCCATGTATTTTTACTAAACAACATAATACACAGATTTCTTACCCAAAATGCAATAATCAACAATTTCAAAATGTGGCTTATTATTTATATTACCTCAGCCCCCCATATATGCTGCAATATTTACATTCCTTCTTCGGAGCATTCCAAATTTCATACATTAGGGGTAAATATTTAAGATATAAACAGCATCCGATAAGTGGCTTTTATTACGTTTGATTCATGAAATAGATATTAAGATATTAAAAGGAAATACATAATATTTTTTTCTATTCAAACAGTAATGGTTGTAAATAAAATTAAATGCTGACTTCAGATAAAATTGATTTACTGAATAAATTTAGCATTTAATAGATAAATGAATATATAGATATAGGTTGAGAAATTAAACTTAATAAAATTTTATGTGACTTTTACGGAACATTTAGACCCTTTATTTTATACAAAGAAACCTTTTATTTTAAAGTCATGTGACATATTTTCTGCATAGATTACAACAAATATGAAAGTGAGACTTGATTAAGTTACATCATCAAAATGTTTTAATATCTTTATAATTTTAAAATTTAAGAATCATTTCATTATTAATATGAAATAATTACATGGATAAATTCAGTTTACTTAATAATGGATCTTCAAGATCAATTAGCAGATCGAAAACAGTGTGAAACTTGATTGAATATAGCTTTAATAAATTTATTTAAGATCTTTATTTAGATATTCTTTTTATTGAGGAATGAAATATATTATTGGTTTCATTTTATTTAAGCATTAAAATTTAATCTTCTACAGCATGTAGTGCAGAGATGAAAGCCATTAAGTAAGAAAAATATAAGGTTGAAATGTAAAATATTAAGCAGAAGTTTGAATGAAAAAGACTTGAACAAAATAATTTGATATTCCCTTTGAAACATTGATTAATCTAAATTGATAAGAGTTTCATGACTGATAAAAATATTTATGAGATGTAAAAATGCAAGAAAACTAAAATCTGTTGCCTAGAGTTAAGTACAGTTTCAGTAATAATTGAGATTTATTAACATTGAGATAGTTTGAAACTATATTCTTATAGAAAAAAAATAATAATTATCAATTACCTCTATGAAAAAAATTAAGATACCTTTAACAGTTCCAGCAGAAATTGCTAAATTTAATGACTCATATAGTTGTAAAGCTGATTCTAGATTCTTGTGCAGACTGTTTAAATATTCTCCAAGGGTATATACTTTCACATTCGGATTTTGAACCAATGATTTATAAGCCTGCAATATTTTAAGAAATTAAAAATATGAATGTAAAAATAAATAAATAAATAATTAAAATAATAAAGTTACCATAAGGAAAATAAGTGAAGAACAATGTAGATAAATTAAGATACAAAAAATTCAATTTTTCGCAACATTTTTACAAAAAGACTATTAAATGTAAATTGAATTAAGTTTCCTTTATAAATAAATAATTACCAAAACAGTAAGATATCCTAAAATAAAATTACAAGCATGAGACACATTTCAAACACTTTTTTTCTTTTTACAAAAAAATAGTCAATTATCTTTTTACTTAAAGGAAGCACAGTGCAATTTTCAAAAAAAAAAAAAAAAAAAAANAAAATTACAAGCATGAGACACATTTCAAACACTTTTTTTCTTTTTCTAAAAAAATAGTCAATTATCTTTTTACTTAAAGGAGCAATTTTAAAAAAAAAAAAAAAAAAAAAAAAAAAAAAAAAAAACTTTTTTTTTAAACATTTTTTATGGTTTATCCTATCAAGATTATTGTACTAAAATATTGAATTAATTTTCTTTCAAATGCAAAAGTTACAGCATAACATGTTGATGCAAGACACGTTGTGACATGTGTGAACTTGTGGACTAATGTATTTGCTCACTCTTATCAAAACATTTTAGAAAAATACTATAATTTTAACTATTTCATTGAAGTAATATGGTTAAGTAATGTAAGAAAAACAATTAATGGTATTTTCAGTATACAACTTATTTAGCTATAAAATGTTTTAATGAAGGTTGCAAGGGGTAATTAATACTTTTGGAACAATTGGAAATAAATGGCACTCGAGACGGCTGAAAATGATAAAAAACAACTTATGAACCAGGAATTGATGTATTATAGTTAATTGTAAAATTTTATATATTTATATGGATAATTGATCATAAAATCTTAAACACAAATTACTTGAAACCATGTTTCTCTTACTTGCTGTATCTCCAATTAGTAAAATTTTCAACGGACTTATTTCATATTTTTACACAATGTTCACAACAAATATAGTTTTTGTTGCATACAGAGATTTCTTAATTCAGTTGATTGGTTTTACATAATAACTGAAAATGTAAGTTATTTTAAGTCATTTTTTGAACTTTTTTCCCTCACAGCAGTGCCATTTTGTGAATGCAGCTACACTTTTCAATGGTTGAGGAGATACTTTGATATAATTTTTAATAATAATGGAAATTATTTTGTGTCCTATTTTTTGCACTAATATACAGTACAATGGTACTAATATTCTTTAAAAGCACAAAATAAGCATCAATATTTAATTACATAAAGATAGACAATCAGAAATAACTATTTAAATTTAATTTCCAAAAAAATCAATGTAGTTTTGATATTTTGAATGTTTATGAACATACAAAAAATAAGGCTTTGTATAGAAATCACAAAAAGTTACCTAAGTATAGATAAAATGTCATTCACAAATTAAAAAAAAAAGACCTGAAATAAGATGGCATTTAATATTTAAAGAAACTAGGAAATTAGTTTAAAATTTTAGAGCAATTTCGTAGTGTAAATTAAAATCTGTAGATTCCATGTGAAACTTATAACAGTTGATATATTGGGTATTGGTAAATTCAGCTAAAATTAGGTGCATTTATACCAAAATTTAGACAAGGCTAAATTTTCCTAGGCAAGTTTTTAAAGTACTTATTTTCTTAATTGCATTTAAAATTTTTTACTTTTCTTCTACAAATCTTTATTTATCATAGTATTTTTTACAATTGAAATGAAGTGCTAATTAGCTTTATGAGAAAATTAACATTAAATGTTTTGGAGTGTTTTATCTATAATTATGTTAATTAAACTACTGCTATAATTATGTCACAGCCTCAATCAAATATTTAGTAACAGGAAGTAACATAAAATATTAAATTTTCTTCAAAAAAGTAATAAAAAATGCACATGAGTGGGAAAATCTAAAAAATTCAGAATATAAAAATACAAAAATTAAAAAAACAAAACAAAACGCAAACATACTTCAATATTATGTGTAATTAAGATTATAGGTATAGACCGTTCCAAATGATCAGAATAAAATTCAGCTACTCTGACACAGCATCTTAAAAAGATTAAAACAAATCAAAGTTATAATAAAACCATAATGCAAAGGAATTATAAGTTTATTTTTAAATGTCATAGCAAAATACAGGGTAATTTTTTTTTTTTTTTTACAAAAAAATAAAGGAAGAAAAAGGCGGCTTTAATGTTTTTTTTGGGGCACTTTAAGACAAACCAAGCATTGTTAAAATATTCAGGCTACAAATAGCTTGTGGGCCATTCTCCACTGTAAACACTCTAAACCTCAATTTTTATCTTACTTGTACATATTTTTAATTTATTCAATAATAAAGTACATAGGCTAAATCTTAAAAAATGAGATACAATGATAGTTATATTTAAATTTTTATTATGGAATCAATTCTTAAAATTTAGCATTGTACTTTTTAAGTTTTCTTGTTATAATCAACATATTTACATTTATTTCCTTAGCTGAAAAAATATTATAGCATTTCAATTTTCTTCTTTTTTTCCCATATGTCTATATAATGCTCTTATTTAAAAATAAATTAAAAATTTAAAAATCATATTAAAATTGTGTAAAAAATAAAAATTTATTAGAGCAAACATTGGTTGTCCCGTGCATAACACAAAAACATGATAATTTTTATTTTTCTCATTTATTTTTAGGGCAAAACAGAAACTGCTTCAATTTTACTTTCTTTCTCTTAGTACTGACTTCTATTACAAAGGAAGTTCCTCTAAGTTTAATATTAGATAAAAAATTAGCACTTGTTTTCATGTCCCGTGCACAACTTAGATTTCTCTAAAAATCGGGAAAATCAAAAACTCCAAGAGCATTTATAACTGTAGGTGGCTGAGTAACTTTAACAACTTCTTCATGTTGTAAAACACTTTATCTTCTCGTTTAGGCCATTTCCAATATTTTCCAGGCTTTACCATGGCAGAAACTTCAATATCATTTCCCAGCACCTCCGTAACTTCTCCAGCATATAAACTATTATCATATTTCACAATAACCCAATTTCCTCCAATACTTTTTGTGGTGTTAATTGTCCTGGTATTAAGATTTCTTTTTATTGGTGCTACAGCATTTTTATGAAATTTTAAACCAGAAGGCGAATATGTAATTCCATGCATTTTAGAAATTCCTTGTATTACTCTTGCGTTGGCCCACATATATCTCTGTTTATATCTTTATCTAAAAATAGCATCAGTGTAATAGGTGGCATAGCTTTTTTCACAACATTTGCAAAATCTTCCGCAGACTGCACAATTGGAACTGTCTTAGCTGCCTAAAACTGTCCTAAACTGTTTTAAAGTGTCCAAAACCTTAAACATTGGTTAAAAGATAAAAATTCTATATGTGAAACTATTAAACACATAATAATTACATACATTAATAAATATTTTATATTTTTTATACAATTTACTTTAACTTATTAAAGGAAAATAATATAATAGGAAAAGATCAATAACTTTTGAAGCTGCACAATTCATTGAATAACAAAAGTGAGTACCTTATCCTTTAAATATGCTTTTAGTACTGATAAATTATGTTTTTGCATAAGGATAAATAATGCAATATTTAAAGTAATAATAAATTTTTTAACAAAACAAAAACTTGTCTTCATTTTGTTCCTTGTTCAAAAATTAACCTTTTATTTTTCACATTATTTTTTTAAAATTTTAATATAATTTGATCCATAGAGTTTTGGACAGGACAGTTTAAACCGTTGATTAATCCTTTCTTTTTTAAACCTTGCCAACTCTGATGCTTCATTCAGATATGTCACCAAATAATATTTTCTTAATTTAATTTTCTCACCATTCTTCCAAACTGTAACTTCATCTTTCATTCCTGGTGCTGTAAAAAAAATATCTGAATGGAAAAAAATTTATCGTACTAAATTAGGTGACTCTTCATCACTAATAGTATTTTTCTGACTAGCTTGCATGTTTAAGCCAAAATTTGTTGCAATTACAGAAACTACTGTTTTTTTTTTTTTTTTTTTTTTTTGGTTGGAGATTTAGGTAAAGATTTTAATGATTTTCTCATTGCTTTTCCGACAGCTTGATAAATCTTGTAGGCATTTTCAATTTGGCTTCTTGATGGTGTATTATTCCTAAACTCTGTTTTCTTTCTTTGGCGATACAGTTGTAATTATCCTTTATAATGATTTATAAAGCTTCTAATCCAGATCACCAAACTAAATTCAAAGTATGAATTAGTGTTGCCACTTCAAAATATACATAATTAAATCAAGTGTATGCTTCCGTGTGTAATAAATTGCAGACATGTCCCGTGCATAACATTAGGTATGTCCCGTGCATAACACAAATAAAATAAATTTAGAATTTTATCAAATAATGTATTTGGAAAACATCCAGCATAATTTAATAGAAGTAATATTTATCAGCTAAGAAAAAAATATAATGACAATATACAAGTTTTAAATTCACAGAGTTTATGAAAAATAGAAGTCAGGGTAGAAATTAATCTTTTTTCTGAGTCCCGTGCATAACGACTATATTAAATCCCTTTTCAAGTATTTAAACTTTAATTTTTTATTTGTTTTCTATGCAATCTTTAAGAAACAGACTTGTTTTGAATTGAATTGTAAAAAAAAATTTATTACCCCATTATTTTACTATTTTTATTAACTTCAAAGGCCTGCAAATGTCCTGTGCATAACGGGAGAATGGCCCTTGTGCAATAATTTTTTTTAAATAATAGTAATTAAATCTTCTAAAGCCTTCATTTTCAGGTTACAAATAGCTTGTGCAATAAAAAAAAAAACCTTTTGTAATAATTAAATCTTCTAAAGCCTTTATGAGTAACTTTGCTAAGAAAGATAATCATATTTGACTATATAAACTTAGAGAGTACTTTTTTAAATGCATAGAAAGTTTTTCAAAATTAAAATGATTTGAAATGCTCATAAAGAAGTCTTATAATTTTGCACAGAACAGAGGTAAACCAGATTGAATATTTAAATAAGAAAATATCAAGAATAACAATTTAAATTCCATAATAAATTTTGAATTATATACATACTTAATTAACCATTCATCATAAGACTCAGAAAAAGATCTAGGAACATGAGTATGGATAGAAATTTCATTCAGAAAAACAGTACTTCCATGTCGAATATCTTTAGTAATATTGAGGAGGCGTTTACTAAATCGTTGGCCCATACTTTGCATTACCTATTAAATAAAGAATAAATTATCAAATAAAATTTTTTTTAGAATTTTTAAAAGTAAAAAAATTCAAGAGGTACAGTGCGCAAAAAAATAAGCAGATCGCCCTGAATAACTTTTGACCTAATAACCAGATCTTCAAGTTCTAGTACTCAATCTTAATGGTTTGAGAGAGGGACTTCAAATATGTTAATTAATTAAATCTGACGCAAAAACGTACTTTCTCTGAATAAATATACCCTTTTTTTATGGATTTCTGAACCTCAAACTATAAGGGGCAACCGCAACTGGGTAATATGGTCCCAATAGTTTGGTCAGGAGAGCGATATAAAGTTTGAGGGACATCGATGGAATAGTTCCTGAGATATTGAATTTTACATATACAACTTTTTAAAATTTCATTTCTCAGGAACTATTTGATCAATTTCACTCAAATTTTGTATTTTGCCATTTAAAATGATGTAAAATATTTTATTCCTGGCAATTCAAATTTTTTCGACTATTATTGAATAAAAATGATAAGAAATAATAAATATTTACTAAAAGTTACTTTTTGAACAAATTACCCTTGAATAAATAAATTCTATAATTGTATGCAATTTTTTAAAAATTTGTTTAAAAGTTTTTTGAGATATGGCGAAGTATGCAAAAAGTAAAATTAACATTAAGGGGTTCAAACTTTGGATTGCTCTTGTGACCAAACTATTATGACTATATTCCCCAGATTATGGCTAACCTCTAAATTATGTGAGTCCAAAATCCAAATCCGTAAAAAAAGGTACGCTTATTCAGAGAAAGTAAATTTTTTTCTCTGATTTTGTACCTTAAAATATCATCTGCACTAATTTGTTAGCATATTGAGGTCAGCCCTTCCACCATTGAGTCCTAGAACGTGAAAATTCAACTATTGGAGCAAAAGTTATTCAGGGTGGTCCTTTTATTGCACGCTGTACACAAATCAGCAATAACTAATTAACAATATTGAAAGTTTAAAAATATTATTGTGTTTGTTATGAACAAAATACAACTTCAAAGATATTTAACTAATACATTTTTAAATTTTTTTAAAGAAGCATTGCACTAGAGTTAAGCTATTGAAAAGGGTGTGAGATTCATCCTCTATCATGATCCAAAGACAATATTGATGCACTTGTGCAAACACTATAGAAATTTAGATGAAAAGCAGTTGGTTGTAGTAATCTCCTTACTTCAACAATATTTTTCCCATCCTTAAACTATGGGTGACATTTAATTAAAAAGGATTTCAAAATACGAAGACATAATCAGAGAAAGTTTAGTCCCACCAGATACTCAGCCTTTAGCATGTGAAATTGAACTCAAGCCTAAGATGTCATAGGTGACGACTAAACTCACCACACCTAGTAGTGAAAAACAGAATAGAGTAGCATAGAGAAAAAATAAAAAGAGGAAAGGATTTTTTATATATCTTTTTGATTGTACTAAGAGGCATTAAGAAGTGAGATATTAGTGAGTAACATAGTATAGTGAGTACCATAGCAACTTATCTCCTACAAAAATTGTACATGATTTTGGTTTTGATAAATAAATTCTGAATAAAAATTTATTGCTGAAATAAGAGCAATGAATTTAAAAATATAGAATATCTTTATCATAAAATGATGAGATTTGTTTAACAATTTAGAAGTTAATTTAGAGGGGAAAATAAGATGAGATAAAACAAACTATATAAGAATTTTTTATCAGTCTTAACTTACTTTAGCAGCAATACTTTGTAAAATAATAAATCCCTGCAATTCCGGTAATTCTAAAATTTCCAAATAGTTCAAAATAATGTCTATGCAAGGCAGGGCATAATGAGTCACATCTTTTTGTAGTCCACTTGGTTTTGAGTCTGAAAAAACAAATAAAAATTAATTTATAGTGCAACTTTTCATTTGGACAGATTTTAGTTATTTTATTGTTTTAGGCATACAGTTAAGATCATTTTCAAAATGAAAGTAATAAAAAACTAAAATGGACAATCAATTTACAAGACTATTGGTTTCCAACTTTTTATTTATTTATAATTTTATTCAAAGTATTATTGGCAAAATGGTTAAGGCATTATGGTGTCATTGAGAAGGACTAACTAACTAATACAGACTAACAGTGCAAAGCCTATCCAGTTTCACATGGCAAGCTTGTAAAAAGACATAAAGGGGGTGGTGCACAATGCTTTCTACATTGTCAACATGATGCTGTAGGTCTCATTAAGCAAGTGGAGCCTTAATCTTCATGATCCCTTTGATATTCAGAATGCTAAGAATGAAACATATTACAGTCAAACCCCGCTATAGTGAACCTTCAAGGGACTGACATTTCGGTTCACTATAACTGGGAGTTCACTATAACCGTTAGCAGGCGATTTAACTAATGGTTCCTTAAATTCTCCCTTTTATTACACATGATTCAAATAAATGACTGAAAAATATTATGTAGTAGCAAAAGATGTGTTATTTTTTTATTACTCTTCGTCTTACGTACAAAAAAAATCTTGTAATATTTAGCTGATGAGCAATCCTCAACATCAGATATGGAAAGACCTGCCAACCCTCAGATAATTTTTCCTGAATTTCTGTTATTCTTCTTTTTAAACCTGTCTAACCTGCCATTTGATCACATAAAAGTAGTCTTACAAAATGGCTTAGCAAAGTCTTCGACATATGCCCAGATACTGGAAGATTGCTGCCTCTTCGAATGCTGAACCACTTCAGTAACGCTTCTTCAACATCCTTGTGATCTGCTTTCTTTTCTCAACTTTTATCTGCCATCTAAATTTCTTTCATGAGCAGGAATTGCTAATTGACTATTTTTCCATTTGTAACAAACTGTAGATTTGGAAAGTTTATATTCCCTGCAAATATCAGCTTGATTACATCCATTTTCAATTTTTTTGATTATGCCCATTTTAACATCAATGGAGAACGTATTACGTTAACTGCTCTCCATAGTTAAATTTGAGACACTTGTTTGCAGGCTTTTTTTAACTGAACTGATAGCCAAAAGGAGTTGAAATGAGGGCCTTATTAACATAGATTAGTGTCGAATCCTTTGACCAATAATGAATAATTACTCATTCCCTCTGACAGAGAATGCATATTGATCCCACTGACGCCTTACAGGTGCATCATCTGCCTGAGTTGGACGCATCTGCTTGGTTTATTTAGGGATGGAAAAGTGAGATAAAAGAAGCTGACAAGAAAAAATGCTTATCGCTACATTCCCCTCTATAAATGGTTTAAAAAATTGGTATATGTATTTATTTGAAGTAGAAATTTCAAAATTACAAAAAAATGAAGAAAATGGAAATTTGGAAATTAAATTTGGCGAATGATTTTTTCCACTGGAAAAAAACAAAAATTATGTCAAAATGAATTTTTTCTAAACAAATCAATATTTTTTATTCGATTACAGTAATTTTCGGTAGATGCGCTGTGTAACCAATTAGAATTGAGTCCAAATAATATAAGCCTGAAACAAACTACTGCAAAACAGTTTTTCATGAGAAAAAAAAATTATCATAAAAAATTGTTAAGATTTGCATTNCAGTAATTTTCGGTAGATGCGCTGTGTAACCAATTAGAATTGAGTCCAAATAATATAAGCCTGAAACAAACTACTGCAAAACAGTTTTATATGAGAAAAAAAATTTATCATAAAAAATTTTTAAGATTTGCATTTGGTGAAGACTTTCGAAAATTGGCGAATACTTTTGATATTTGACTAATAATTTGAAATCCTTAGCGAGGACCCTGTATACATATATATGTCTGTGTGTGTTTAATTCTTTACTGACAGCTGAATAATTTTTCTCTAAATTGTAGTTTAATAGGAAAGTGGTGTAGGCATAAAGAATAAAATTTCCTTTAAACTCTTCATTTAGGCATTGTTATAAGTATTAACCAAATCCAAGAAATAGAGATTTAATTTGTATTCCAGTACGCACATTTTAGCATTATAAACTGATATAAGAAAAAAAAAAAAAAGCTTTGAAGATAATACAAATTTGAATAGTTATTGGAACTTCATTAATATATTTTTAATTCTTATTTTTAGTTAAGAAAACACATCATTAATTAATATTAAATGAAGAGTTTAATAATATTTTCAAGAATTAACAGCGATTTCGGTATAGACTAACAAGTATACTAACAATTGTAGAGTAGATGCCAAAAAAAGTAGTGATGCATCCCTAGGGACACACAATTCTCTAGTGTGACAAAAAAATATGCAAAAAATATAATGGAAGCAATAGTATAACTAAATTTTAAATCTATGTATAAAATAAATATTTTTTCTTCCTTATTAATAATTGAAAGGAAATAATTTTGAATAATTATGAAATATTCTTATTAATAAAATAATTCTGAGTATCAAATTACATTAACATTTCCTTTTTGCAGATGTTTTATCAGCCCTAACTAAAAGCCTAATTTGTATATATATGGCTCCTGTTTGAAATTCTTTGTCTTGTCTATAAATTAATATAATAATAATGAATGTCATATTAATGGATATAGAATTCATATTTTAAACAGGGACATGTCTGTAGTAAAAAAGAATCAAGAAATTTCGATGTCCTTAACCATAAGTATCAGAGATCTCCTTATCGTGATCTTGGCAACTTCTAAGCCAACTCGAGGAGCATAACTATAGTGTGGATTTGAGAACAACTCCAGACTAAAAGTCTGGGACTGTCTGTTGCTATGGTAACAAGCGAGAGCACATTTCTAATGGAGGTGAAATGGAGGAAAGGTGTCGATTGGTTTACTCACGATGACCTATGCAGGGTTAAGACAAAACTATTCACCCCACATCCCTATTCGAAGCATCTTTTTCTCGAAACCATAGTACCTGCCATGACATGAGACAGGTGTCTGGAGGAGTTTTTCTGAAAGTTGCACTATAGCTTCCACCCCTGGTCAAACATTTGGGGATATTTCCATATCCTAACCTGTTGCACCAACTACAATCGCCAAGGTGCCAAATAGATTTTAAACTTGCAAACTTTTTTAAAAAAACATGTAGATATTTGCCAGGAGTTATACATTTCAAGTTGGTCCCTTTCTGTGATATTTTTTTAGTTTCTCGAGGGCCACTGATCAGAAGTTGCCTAGACTTGGCGATTATTCTGCCACAGATCAGGATACGGAAATCTCCCCACACCTTTACATGTCTTTTAACTTTTACATGGCCTTCCTTTTGAAAGTTTAAAATCCATTTAGGGCCTTGGTGTGACAGATCATGGTATGGAAATATCCTCTGAAAAACACGTAGTTTCTAATGCCTAGCAGAATTACTGACTAAAATGTGAAAAGTATAGGATGGAGCAGGAAAAAGAATGTTCTCATAGTTGGTTATAAGTGACTAACTATTAATAAAAATATTCAATTTTCAAGAGTAATGGTGCCCACTACCTGTGTTGTCACATGCTTTACATAAAGAACTATGGCAGGATATATCATCACGAAGATACAATTCTCGGACGATCGGACTAGCCTTCCCTTTTAATTTGACTAGTTTTGTTGTTACGTTAGAGTATATGTCGTTACATGGTACGTTGGAGAACATCTTTTTAAGTGAATCTCTAGTGAATGAATTATGATAGAAGGTTTCTTAACAACGGGTAACTAAGCCATGTAAAAAGATTTTTGCTGTGCCTAATTCAATTTATACTTTAGTATTGAGTGTTAAAATGACGAATGGATGTTCTAAGTGCAGCCTCTTCAAAATTATCCGTTAAGTGGATCGTAGAAAAATAATAGATTCAAAGAACCACACATGAAACATCAATTTAAATAGAATGTTTTAATCTTAGAACAATAATGCAAATTGAAGATATTTTGAATATGTAGACGTACGCTTCTGCCTGCCCATTTCTTTTTAAATAAGATTCGATGTTTTCTTCAAAATTCAGTTAAATAACGAATTTACCACCTGAGCAAACTAATTATTAAATATATCTCTTCTTTATGACGTAAAAAATGTCTTAAAATTTCATAAATATAAATAAAGCATTTACAAAAGATATGCATTAATTACAAATTTTAAAAAGTTATCAGGTTAACCCCGATGTTTAAATCATTAAAAAAAATAAGCAAACAAAAATAAAACTGTAACAATAAAATTTTTTTATGTTACAGTGTTTTTTTTATAAATTAAATTTTCTATTCGCAATCACAAGACCAGTTCCGTGACTTGACCTTTACTCTTCTCTCACCTCCTGTTCTCAGTTGACGCACTGCGATATTTTCCTCTTTCTTAATATTTTTCGTACTTCAAAATATTTTAATATTATTGTCAAAAATATTTTTTTAAACTTCCACGAAGCATTCTTTTAGAACTCTAATATTGTTTTCAGTTCCAAATAGTTTTCTAACTTAAAAGTTTTTCATCTATTTAAAAATCAAGAGAGAAAGTAACGTACTTTCACCTCCTATGACTCTACACACGCTAATGGTGAAAACATGTGAAGCTTTGCCTTAGGTAGAGAGTTCTGATCTTCGCCACCTGTAGCACCATTTCGATCGCCAATTCGACTATCTAATATCGACATTCTACTATCAACCCTTATTTGCATAATGATGAAAATTTGCATCATATCATTTAGTGAACGAAAAATTGTACCAAGAACTGTAAATTAGTTGTTTCTGGCAACTTTTATCGCGACTATTGAGTAACAAGAAACGTAGCTGCCAAAAAAAAAAAAAANAAAAAAAAAAAAAAAAAAAAAAAAAAAAAAAAAAAAAAAAATGCCACAATTACTAGAGCGGGTTTGAACTTGTCATTAAACCATTCGTTGTGACTTGCAAGAAGTGTACGATTCCTTGAATATTTTTATAGCTATTCTGAGAATTTTTTGTTTATAAAAGCGATGAGTAAGAAGGTTTGTTTTTTGCGTTTCTGTAATTTTCTGTGTAATTTATATCGAATACCCAAATAATCTTCCCAAAACCATGTGATAGAAATTTACATCACTATGGAGCTGTTTCACTCTAATGTATGACGATGACGAAAATGTTTTTTACTATTTGCTTATTTTATGTTATTTTTGTAGAGAAATTGAAGTATACTAAAAAAGAGGAGGATTGAAGACTACTTAGGCCAGTTAGAAGGCGGTTGCTAATCAGAAGATGGCCTGCATGACGAAAATTCTGACGACTAGTACCGCGATGCAGATGAAATTATAAGAGTGCTGCAAGAAGAGAATAATAATTGTTGCTTTAATTATCCTCAGGAACAAAAATGATACATAGATATATTATTTTTTTTATTAATTTTGCACTGAGCTTAACGAGTAAATTTGCATGATGATAAATATTTCCATCACACTGTTTTTTAAAATATTTTATATTATATAGTTAAACTTGGACTTTTTTAAACAATTTTCCTTTAATCTAGAACATGAATTATATCACCCCGATTTATTTCATCAAATTTTTATCCTGTATGTGTAAATACAGGGATGTTTCCTTATGTCCTCCTTAATATCCACTCACTGACCAGTGAATTAGAAACCTTAGATAAATGCTTTTTTGGTTCTCATTTTGCTCGAATAACATTTCGTACTCGTGAGAGCATCGATTCTACAGGATTATATTTTCTGTATTTATGCCCAGGGGGAATACTATGCCTGCCTAAGCAGAGCTTAATATATTGTAAATTAGATGGAAGAAGTGATTGCTGTCGAATGTGCTTTTCCAACGTGTCCCAAATTTTTTTTTTATTAGGCTAACATCCAGATTTTGGGGTTGCCAAGACCAGGTATTGGAAAGATGTTCGTTGAACCTATTTTGTATGCTTCTGGCACGATATAGAGTTACATTATCGTCCATGAAGTATCCGTTACCTTCGGAGTAAAAAAGCAACATTGGAAGATGAACTTGATTCGTCCTTTTGCCTAGCTATTACATGGCTCTCTGATTACTCTCTAGAAACACCAAGGCACCATTTTCATGTCTCACTGCATGATACTCCCCCCAGACCCTAGTATAAAGCAAAGAAGTCAAGTTGGTCAGTGTGTGTGTAGACAGAATATATTTAATAAGTATTCACAGAATACTTATTAAAAATGAAATTTTTTTTTCCAAAATAGGGGTAGTAAATTGATATTTAAACAAAGGAGAAATAAAAATAATATCGAAACCCTCACCTGGGTTATGACTATGGTGAGCGAAATGTTAATTTAGGTAAAAAGTTCTTTACGAAACGACCGATTCTTTCATGAGGAAACTTAAAATCGAAGATGTAAAATATTTCAATTGCTAAAGCTCAATCACTCAATTGCTGAAAAAAATAAATAAAAATAAAATTATAATTCAAAATATAAAAAATTGAAGAATGTAAATAATCAAAATATAAATATAAAACTATTATAAAATTCTTAACATTTATGGTCTATTTTTATGCTAATTTTTTTAAACGCTTTTTAAGCAGCATTTCAAAATTTCTGGCACATTGAATCTATTAGAATTAATTGTAAGGTTTGATTACAATATTTGTGTTAATTTCTTTTAAGTAAGTCTGAATACATTAAAAATTTCTGTTATTTTTGAGCATTGATTAAAAAAAATTAACAATGAAAATATTTACTGTCCGCTTATTTGTACTAAAAGTTAGAATATGATTTTAAATTCAATTTTATATACTTTTTTTTTACTCTTATGAATTCTCCATCTCTTTACAGATTTCTTATAATAAAAAATTTATTTCTATACTAATCTTTGTAGGCAGTGGGTATTTTATTAGATTAAATTTTAGTTATGATAGACTCTTATTATTAATTAGATAACAATAATAACAAAATTAGTTTGGATTGAATTGCTAGAAACACCTTCAAGTTTCCTATGGCAATCAAACTGGTTTAAAATTTTTCTGCCTACTTTTATAAAAAAAATTGCATTTTTTTATTAAAAATTTGATAAAAGAATCTTGTCTCTCATATCTTATCTCTGATCTGATCTTATATTTGATCTTGTTCTTGTAATAGCAAGAACAAGTATGGTTTTAAATAGGTTCTCAAATAAAACATTTTTTAAACTTTGTATTTCCTCAATAAGAAAAAATTAGTTTTCAAATAATGAATGAAAAAAATCAGAAATAGTATAAACCAAATAATTAAATCTCATATCAATCGAAAAATCAAACAGCATCAACTGAATAATTGTAATAATCTTATTATTTAATGCAACAATCATGGGAGATCGAAACTGTTTGAACTATAAGGTTTAAAAAAGTTTACATTTTGTTAAACAGAATCCAATGTTTCAACGAAGAAACCTTCTCAGGAATAAAAAATTAAAAGAACTTTATTTTTTATAAACCGCTCAACTGATTTGATTAGAATCCAATTTTCTATGCTGGTATTTAAAATTATGTAACGTGGCGTGAAAATTATGATTCATTTAAAACATTTTCTAATGTAATTAAATTAAATGATAAAAATTATAATTATTCAATATTCTTTTGAGAAACATTTAGATAAATGATTTTAATATTTATATTAAAAAGAACTCAAGTGCAATATAATCAAAGTTATTATAATCAAATACAAAAAAGTACTTTTATTGAATGAACGTTGCTTTTTTATGATAGATGGTGATTAATTATGGTGATAGCCTCTATCTTTGAAATATGACCCCACTAGTTAAATCGGAAAAGCTGCCAAAATTTTGAACCCCTTAAATTTAATTTCAATTATTGCTATTTCAGCTTATCTTTGCAAATATTTAAGCGAATCAAACAATTTTTGCTCATAATTACAAAACACATATATTCTAAAATACTTCAATGTAAAAATTAAATTTTTAGTTACTTTCAATTTAATGATAGTCAGAAAATTTTAAATGCTACAATGAAAATTTGAATAAAGTTGTCTGAGTTTCTGAATAAAGAAGTTTTAAAAAATTCGTATTTTTAAATTTTCATTTCTCTGATTTCATTCACAATTTTAATTTTTCATTTAATGTTGTATTAATAAAAATGATGTATAAATGTGTATGCATTTACAATCCAATATTTTTTTAACCATTTTTAAATTTATAAATAAAAAAATCATAATTATTAAAAAATATTTTTTTTGAGCCTGAAATTATCTTTGGGTAAACTACTTTCATAATTATGTGCAAAAAGAAATTTTTTCTCCTACTCTTAAACAGATTTAAAAATATGCAAAAAGAGAAATTAATATTAAGGGATCTACTTTCAACCACGAACCAGATTGAACTATCGAGAATATATTTTCCAGATTGCGGCTAGCCCCATATTTTTCTGAGTCAAGAAAACCGAATCGTTCGAAAAAATATAATGGTTTAACACGGGGAAATACGTTTTTGTACCCGATTCTGTAACTTAAAATATTTCCTGCATTTATTAGTTAACTTTATTTAAAGTTAAACATTTAGATTGCATCTTCGAACGTGAAAATTCGTCAACTTTTAAAGCGATCAATTTTTATTTCGCTCACTGTATAATATATTAAATAATCTCTTTAAGAAAGTAAATGAAACATATTTCATGGAGCACCAATTAATATTTAAATAAATAAATAAAAAAAACCAAGGACGTTATTAAAATCTTTCGAATCATAATCTAAGTCAATCATCGTAAATGTGAAATTAAAATAATCAAAATCTGTTTATTTGTTGAATAAAAAAATTGGAGGCTTAGGTTATTATTTTGGCCATTTTGATTTTCATCAGACAAATAAACTAGGTTTAATTATATTAATGCCATCTATGCTATGACCTTTCTCTATACTGATTAGTAATAAGTGCTTGTTTTCCTTTTTCTCTTAAATATTAGTTTGAAACTCTAAATACATTAGGTTCTTATATTCACCACTTTAGTAAGGATAATACTAAAAATACATAAAGGGCAGC